GGGAAAGACACTTTCCCAACTGAGGGCAGGGGACCTGGGAAGATAAACCAGATTGGGCACAGGGACCCCTGAATTCACTCCTGGTCCAACACTTCCATCCTCTCAGAACCTATCATGGTCCAGCAATGCTCCTGTCTTCTGTTTTAGTAATAGAAAAAGAGTGCTGGATTAGGAGCCAGAAAACGAAGGCAAATCCCTTAATCTGTCTGTTTCCTCACCTATGAAATGGAGGTAATACCGCCTTCAGTATAGTCACAAAAATCAAGAAAACATCTGTAAATATGATAAACTTTAAATCTTGTAAATATTAGGTATTATTATCATTAATCCTTTCCTCTTCCATGGTTTCCTTTTAGTCTTACTAAAAAAACAAAACCCTTTCTTTAAACCTGCTTTTCCCTCAATATACCTCTTCTTTCTCTTTTTTAAACCACCAAAATTGTCAAAGAGGACACAAGTTGGGATGACTGAGGCATGCAGGCATCACACAGTCTAGGTCTGGAGGGACTCAAATGCTTATGAAACTGGGCAGCGTAATTCCCAAGACAGGGACACAGAGGAAAGAGCCTGGCTTCAGAGTGAGGCACAGTGTGCATATGCTATTTCTGCCCCTTGCTCAGCCAGTATCCTGAGGCCTCACCTGTACATGGTGATGGTGGGGACAATGATACCCACAGGATTGCTGTTGAGGACGAAAATACATAAAGTCTGGCACAGTTGAGAACACACAGTAGGAGCTAGTGCCAGAGCTCTATTTATGGAAATGATGGATTCCTTCTCTTCACATCCCGTCCCTACCAGTTTGGGGAGCAGTGTCCACCCTGTACTCCTTGGACCAGAAGCTGAATTCAGCAAAACAAACTAACTGAGCTGTACTAGATATGCTGGAGGCTGGGGAAAGAAAGAAAAACTGGGCACTACTCATGTGCGTGTGTGCGTGTGTGCGCGCGCGCGTGCGCGTTGGGGGAGGAGGGACAAAACAAGCATATTATACCAGTCCCTTCAATATAATGCAGAGAGTACACTGAGTACAGAGGACTATGGGAGCACCAAGGAGGAACACAGAGCTCAGCTGGAGGGGTCAGTCAGGGGATGTGCCCCCAGAGGATTACGAGCACTCAGCGTGTGGGGAACAGGGTTGGGATTAAGGGAGAAAACAGGAAAGAAAGAATTCTGGAGCCGAGCCAGCCAAGCCACCTTGGGACCATGCAGTCCTTCCTGGAGGATCAGAATTCCCAACTCTGGAAGCTCATGTGAGTCTCCTTCCTCCTGAACTCACCCATTGGTTGTTTCTTGGTGCTGCTTTTCTTCAATGCTTCACATTATCCAAAGGGTAAATAAGTCTTTTGAAAAATGTCCTGTCTTTTCTTGTGTTAGTTAAAATTATAAGGGGAAGGAATTCCTCTATAATCAAAGTTGGAGCCTTGGTGCAATTAGGGTGTCCATGCCCAGGCCAGATATAAGAATGCTTGGACCCAAGTGAAGCCTGGGGTCAGTGGGGAGATGTAAAGTGTAGGGACCCAGAGGGGGACAATAAAGGACTAGAACCCTTCCCGCCCACCTGGGCATTTCTCTTCCATGCAGAAAGGTGAACCCGTGACAACTCACCACACCAATGGAGAAATAGTTGTTCATGATGTCGTATGGGACTTGGTCCCCGTTCTCCACCTCCTCTCTAGGGATGACTTCCAGGTGCCAGCGGTCCAGCATCACCAAGGGGCTCTGCTCAATGTCCTTCAGGATTTTCGTCAGGCTGCCCCCTTCATAACCTGTGGAGAATGGAATTGCATTTGTCCCAAAGTAGAAAACTAACTTGTTGCTAATGTGCAGAGAACTGTCCATGCAGGGAACCCTGTGGGCATCTTTGACCAGGAGACTCCCCAGGGCGTCTGTTGGCCAGACAGACACACTCAGGCTCCCTGAGCCACAGAGAAGGAGAGGACAATACAGAGTAATCAGAGAGAAAGCTGGAGGAGATTTGAAAGTCAGAGTAGCAGGACTGGAGTGGGTGCTGGCCACAGGTGGTCAGGCTGTATAGCCGAAGCAAGCCCTAGAGAACTGGTGGGCTGGGTGGTTGGGAAGAACAAAAGATCTGTTTCTGGACCGTGTCATGTCAGAGATAAGCAGTATGGCAGGCAGAATTTTAAGATGGTCCTCATGAATCCTGCCCCCCACCTCCAGTGTATATACCATTCAAAACCTGTAAATAAGATAGGATAGTCACCGTCATGATTAGGTACATTATATGGTGCAGTTGACTTTGAGAAAGAGAGATTATCCTGGGTGGAGATGACCTAACTTGGGGGGTCCTCAGAAAGGACTGGGCTTTTCCTTAGGAAATTGATTCAAAGCTTGAGAGGACTTTGATGGAGGAAGGTTCTCTGTTGCCAGCTTTGAAGCTGGAGGAATCTATCTGGCAAGGAATATAGGAGGCCTTCAGCATCTGAGAGGGGTCCCAGCTCATAACCAGCAAGGGAACAGGGACCCAGTCCTACAACCACAAAAAACTGAATTTGGCCAACAACTCAAATTTGCTTAGAAGCAAATTCTTCTCCCAGAGCCTTCATGGAGGAGCATAGTCTGTCTGATGTCTTGATTTCAGCTTGTGAGGCCCTGAGCAGAGAACCCAGCTGCCTTGCTCCAGGACTCCTGACCTACAGGACTGTGAGCTAATAAAGGGATGTTTTAAGCCTCACGTTCATGATAATTTGTTAGATAGCAATAGGAAACTAACACAGAAAGTGAATCGTAAGTGATGAGAGGTTAATGGAAGAGACAGTTTTTTCTTTTAAATAAGACTTCCATGTTTCTGCTTACCTTTGCAGGCAACCTCGAAGAGAATTTTCAAGTTGTTAGGGCTTTGGTCAGCAGCTTAGGGGATGCCCCACAAGATAGCAGTGGTAGCAACTGTGTAGCCATCAGGCTACCTGGGAGCACAGGCTGGGTTTCCTGCATGAAATTTTTGCCTATGCTTCTTAAGTGCCCAGAGCATGGGGCCACACTCTGCTTATCTCTTTTGAGCGGAGGGCTCTTCCCTAGTCTCAGCGTGTGGCTGAGGACCCTGGTAGCTCTTCTCATGTCTGCCAACTTCTTTCTAGGGCTGGCTACTGCTTGCTTTGCCTCCGCCTACCAAGCATGCACCGACCTCTGAACACTGACCACTGCCTGGTCTGGTCTTGAATTGCTCTCTGATTTGATCGGCCATCTGCAGTCCCACCCCAACTCTGCTTGCCAAACTGATCTGTCTGCTCCACATGCTGGCCTGAACTTCTCCACTCTCTGGAACATGCCCAGTTCCACAGGGGCTGGTTGCAGTTTGCAAAGTTCTCCTTAGCTCCTGCCATCACCCTGTAAGCTTGTTACTCTGAATTCCCCCTTAGGGGAATTTCAAAATGAGGGCCCATTGCCATGCATATCTAGGATGATCTGGATGCCCCTAAGAGCCAGTGATGTGGCTTTTCAGTCTGCATTCTGAGTCCTAATTCAGAAGGGATCAGTAATTTGGAAAGGGGAATTTTATGCAGAAACACCTGTCTAAGAGAGCCCCTACTGGGATGAGCTCTGGGGAGGAGACAAAGGAGCTCTATGACTTGTTCTACTGGGAGAGGCTGGCTAGTTTCAGGATGATAATAAATATAGTGAGGAGTAAGCATCGGCCTCGGCATGGAATGGAGGACAGGAAAACAGTCATGGAGCCGATCTGACCCCAGAGTTGCATATTACTCTGCGGAATGTGATCTCTAAAAAGGAAGTTCAATCTCGCTTTGTGGAGCATCCCTGTCGATTGGGAAGCTTGCCACTGACAGGCAGACTCACCTCCTCCCCAGCGGAGACAGCGGGCCAGGTCATTTCCTGTTCCAAGAGGCAGGACAGCCACTGGTGGATGCTTTGCAAAGTTGGCCTTATCTACAGCCCATGTAAAGGAAGAGAGAACCATATGCCATGGGGTTACTGAGTGTTTGAGTTATCTAGTTACCTCTAATCTGATGCTTGAACTCTTCTATAGAGATCTTTGTTTGAATACCTCCCATGATGGGGAACACACCACTTCCTAAAGCCATCTCTTCCATCTGTGGTATGCTGACCACTACAAAGATTCTTTCATGTTGAGCAAAACCTGTATCCCTGTACCTTGTACCTCTTTATCCTAATTTCATACTAATTCTTTCCTTTGAGCAGTTTTAATCCTTAATGATTACCTGCACTTATTATATTTATGCCTCAGACGAACCCTGTAGAGTATTACTAATCTTCTCATAGATGAAACTGAGGTTCATTGAGGAAAAGTAATTCCAGAGTTATGATCCAAACCCAGATCTCTGTGGCTCCAAGTCCATGCTCCTCCATTCTTCAGTGACTAGGCAGGTACATGGATAAAACAGTTAAGTCTGAGACATCAGGGAATGGTGGGGCATTTGGAAAACTGAAGATGCCACAGCTCAAGTCATTCAGGTTCAAAAGTTTAAACAGAACATTGTGTCTAATAATGAAAACCTCTAGATGTCATTTAGCACCCAGATATCAGTTTGCCACTTCCACCACCTCCCAGATTTGCAAGTATCCAGATTCCTAATCTTATTTCCTGTGCTGATTGTGAAGGAGCATCAGACTGAACCATTAGAGAAAGCACAGCAGAATATATATGTTTCAGTTTGGCTGCCCATCTACAGTAGTGCATTGGCTAACTGGGAAAGCTGAAAGAGGCATAGGCACCCATTGGGCTCCAGAGGGCACCATGTACATAAACCTCGCTTCACCTGGTGCCTATGGAATGTGAGGCATGTGACTGGGGAGCGCTGGGGCAGGAGTGTGTGTGTATGTGCAGGAATCAGCATCCTGCATGAGGCTCATGCTAGGGCTGCCCCAGTAAAACGGGAATGAGCTCAGGCATGACCCAGAGCTGAGATGGAGGGTGGAGCAAAGCACTGGACTCAGTCATTGTTCCCAGAACCTATAGTCTGTGTTCATGCCTCCTTGCCTCTGCACATTCAGTTCCCTTTGACCGGCAGGCCCTCGTTTCCTTAGGTCTGTTCCTTCTTCCACAGTCCCCATCTCAGCAGGTCAACCGTCCTCACAGTATGGAGGCTAGAAAGCTGGAGGCCATCTTAAGTTTCTTATCTCCCTCACTCCTCCTCCATGCATGCATCAGTTCCTCTGTGCTTTCTCCTTAATAGATCTCCAGGCAATTTCTTCTCTCCATCCCCATGGAGACACCCATGTTCAGGTGTGATATGATTCCTTCCCACTGGTATTACTGCAACTGCCTCCTCTCTGCTCTCTCAGCCTCCATTTCCAGCCCCTCCAGTTCTCCACACTTCCCCCAAAGCAGGCAATCCTTGAACCACAAGCCTGACCACATCAGTCCACTGCTTTCACACTGTCGTGGCTCCCATCACCCCTTAGTATGGCTCACTAGGCCCTTCTCGGATCTGCCTTCCTCTCTAGCCCCATGCTTCTTATATCCTACTGCCCACCCAATATGTCAATCACACCTAAGTGTTTTCGGTGCCCTAAATCACAAGCTTTGTGTTGCTCAGCTCAGATTCTGCCTCTGGGAGGTCCTTCTTGGTTGCCCTAGTCTGGACTAGGTGCCTCTCTAGTGTTTTTTTCAGCACGGACGATCTCATCACACTGTGATGACTACCCGTTTGTCCCTTGAATGCACTGTAAGGTCCCTGTGGAACTATATCTCATTCAGCAGAGTATATCCAAATCTGTTTACTGAAGTCTTATTATGTGCCAGATACTATGCTAGGTGCTCTGGCTTTAACAGCAGGTGAAAAAGCCATGGCTCAGGCTCTCATGGCACCAGCAGTCAAAAAGGAGAGACAGATATTAATAAGGTCTTCCTATAAATGAGGCATGATTTAAAATCATACTGAAGAGGAAAAGAGTGTAGTCCTATAATGAGGTGATTGAAGCTAGGAGATACATCAGGGAAGGCTCCCCTGAAGAAGCCACTTTGGCTGGGACCTGAAGTAGAAGCTGACCAATCGAAGGCTGGCGGAGTGTACCAGACAGGTGGGACAACTTGTGCAAAAGCCCTGTGTAAGAGGTGAAAGGGACTAGTACATTCAAGGGTCTGAGAGAGGGACTGGGTGGCTGAACTCTAGAGAGAGAAGGAGGGAAGTGCGAAACCAGGCTGGAAGGTGCTAGACCACCAAGGGCCTTGTAGTTCGTTTGAAGAGTTTTGATTTTTATCTTAAGAATAATGGGAAGCCATTGATGTACCTTACACACATCATGAACCCACTGACATTCAGGGAAGACCACTCTGGTATAGAGGGAGGGCAGGTCAGAGAGGGGACCAAAATGGGGTGGTAAAGAGCACTGAACAAGTGCCTCAATATTTCCTGAATGAATGAATGAATGAATGAATGAATGACTATTGTGCAGTCATTCCTTTTACTACTGATTTTTCTCTTTGGGCCACTAACCTGTGAAAAAGATCATCTCACATGACCTTCTTTCTTTCTGTTTTGAGCAGCTTCTATCACCTGCGTCCTCTGCAGATGAATTTTATAAAACTTTTCACCAAAGCACTCTTTCTCCTTCATGGTGGACAGGGAGCAGTGTGCGCAGCCCCCGTTGTTGCAGCCATCCACCCTCTGCTGATCAGCTTTTCCTTCCTCGGCTCCTGGAGAGTGCCTCCCTCCTCCCACAAACAACTCCAGAGCCCCAGGTGACAGGAGAGTGTGGGTGGCTGCTTGGCAGAGCTGTGTCAATGGAGACTCAATATTTCCTGAATGAATGAATGAATGAATGAATGAATGACTATTGTGCAGTCATTCCTTTTACTACTGATTTTTCTCTTTGGGCCACTAACCTGTGAAAAAGATCATCTCACATGACCTTCTTTCTTTCTGTTTTGAGCAGCTTCTATCACCTGCGTCCTCTGCAGATGAATTTTATAAAGCTTTTCACCAAAGCACTCTTTCTCCTTCATGGTGGACAGGGAGCAGTGTGCGCAGCCCCCGTTGTTGCAGCCATCCACCCTCTGCTGATCAGCTTTTCCTTCCTCGGCTCCTGGAGAGTGCCTCCCTCCTCCCACAAACAACTCCAGAGCCCCAGGTGACAGGAGAGTGTGGGTGGCTGCTTGGCAGAGCTGTGTCCATGGAAACCAAAGTTCCTGTGGGGGAGCAGAAGGCAGCACGTGTGCAGGTGCTGGTCCCACCCCTCCAGATAGTCTGCTTACGACCCCTGGAGGCCCAGCCTTCCCTGCCCCATTCAGGGTCTATCCTGGCCATTCCTCGACTCTGCTCTTGCCCTCATCTCCCACATCCGGTCTGTCAGCAAATCCTGTTGGCTCCGCCTTCAAAAGATATTCAAAATCTAACCACTTCTCACAACCTCCTCTGTCTCTGCTGCGGTCCAAGCCATGGTCACCTCTCATTTGGATGACTGCAGGAGCCTCCGAACTGGTCATCCTGCTTCCGCCCTTTTCTCTTAATCTCCTCCTTTGCTCAAAACCATTCGGCGTCTTGAGATTTTCCCAATATGAAAGCCACATTTCGTACAATATCCTGCATGTCCTGGTGACCTGGCCCTGCACTATCTCTGCTTCATCCCCTGCCACTCTCCCCTCATGTGCTCCACTCCAGCACACTCTGCAGCCTTCCTGGGGCCTTCAGCAGCCTGGCCTGCTCCCACCCCAGGGCCTTTGTAGCTGCTCCTCCTTCTGCCTGAACTGCTCTTCCCTTAGCTATTTGCATAGCTCAACTCCCTCCAGGTCCCCTGACCACTAAGACTTAGATTGTACCCCTTACCCCCACCGCTGAGCTCCCTTTGCCCCTTCCCCGCTATATTTATATCCATTCTGACATATTATATGCTTTCCTTGTTTCTTTGTTTATTGCCTGTCTCTGCTCTCTAGAAGGGAAGCTCCATGAGGGAGGGATTTTTATCCATTTGTTCATTGTTGCATCTCCATTGCATCAAGGAGAGCTTGGCACAGGAGGTGCACAGGCAGTATTTGTGGAATGAATGACAGGAAGATGGAAGCAAGGCTCTGAGTTCAGTCTCAGACCTTGATGATGGCTGTCCCCAGCTCTTCCCTTTCCTGTTCTTATGTTCCATGTTCCAGTGTTTATCTGAGTTCTCCAGAGTTAGATCTTGAATATATTTCCATCCAAGAATTACAGAGTCAGTCTCCATCATTTACTGGGGGTGATGTGTCCAAGGACCCACAGATCCAGACAGAGCGAGGTTAGAACCCAGGCCCCCTGATTCATAGCCTGGGTTCTTCCCGCTCTCTCTTTGATCTAGGTGTATCAGACACAGCCCAACGTTGCCTTTCTTTGTTTTGCACTGATCTGCACTTTCTAGATGAGCTCTCTGGGCTTGGACTCCAAATGCTCATCTCAAGGTGATTTGCCCTGGGCTATGCATCTATGCTTGGTTCTCTGACCTTTATCATCCACCCTGGATCTACCTGGAATCTCGGTCCTGCCTCCCTTTAACCCCCCAATCTGGCCTGGCCTGCCACTGCCCAAACCCTGACCATGAAAGATGTTTCTGAGGCAAGGCCTAAAACGAATTTTCACATCCGTAGCTGTGGGAATCCTTCCATTGTCTTCTTTCTTTCTCTTTTCCACCCAAAGTAGACATTTAGTCAAGCATTGGTTCAAGAGTAGAAACAAGGATGAATAAGACATGGCTCCATTTCTCTTTCTTTTTTATTGCCTTCCTTAGGCTTTAAATATACTTACTATAAGTAAAGTGCAAAGGCCTCCCAGCCCATTCTTACCAATGCAATCCAAAATCCAGCCAACTGTCCCATCTCCTCCACAGGCCAAGACACGGAAGTCTGGAGTATCGCGGAAAAAGTTCAGTCTGGGAAGTAGAAGAAAGGCCAAAATGGTCTCGTTTACTCTGTCGTGGCTGACCTCTGACACTCCTGAGTCAAAGTCCCCCCTGGCCCCCTCCACAGCTTCCCCAGGGGTATGCTATGACCTTGATTCCTTTTGGGGTTGAAAGGGTGACTTAATGTTCTGAAACCAGAACTTACTAAGCAATGGCATTGAGTGTGAATCTCAGGAGCCATCCTTGTTTGAGGAGACATTGACTCAGCATTCAACACAGAAAATGGTTTTCTAGAAACTGTCTATTATTTGTGCAGAAGAATCCATAGTTTGCTTACTTTGCAACAATATGACTCACCCCCAATATTTCGATTCCCCTTTGGCTCTCTTGCCTGCACTGTCCTTACAATCTCACCTTAAGTCAGACGTACTGAACTAGCTGGATCTTCATCTTGCTCGCCTGTGGGTCCAGACCTAAGTGCAGTGAGCACCATCTCCCCTCAGAGGCCTTAACCCTTTAGAGCAGGCCTCTTAACCTGGGGTCCATGAACCTCCAAAGGGTCTGTGGATAGAATCCAGAGGGCCAAGAACTTGAAAGAGAAAATGTTACATTCTTATCTTCCCTAAGCTCTAACTGAAATTTAGCATTTCCTTTAACTACAAATGCAGGGGACAAATCACAGAGGTATTAACAATACCTGTGGCTCGTCAGCAGTCGAAATCATAGGTATTTTAATGTTTTACTATAGTTGTGGCGGATGTCTCATACTGTCATTTGTGCTCGTCACTGCTTTTAATTTACAAGAGGTATTAGACCTGCCTCTGAAATTTGCTATATAATGTGTTAGTAAATCACATATATTCCCATATTACAATTTTTTTTTTAACATTTTGATAATCGTTTTCAACATAATTAATTTCCTTAGTATGTAATCCTACATATTTCATTTTATATATTAAATATTAGTCTGAGGAAGAGTCCACAGGCTTGATCAGACTTCCAAATGGGATCCTGGCACAGAAAAGTTAAGAACCTCTGCTTAAGAACAAATATGACTTGTGGACACCTTGGGGGTGGGACATGGGAAACTGAAGCTCAGTATTTCTTCTTTGCTCAGCCTGGTGGTCTGAGAAAACCCCTGGGGCTTTCTGAGTCACTGATGCATGTGTGGGCAAATTCACATTCCCTCTCTTCCCCTTCATTCCCTGCTCTCCTATAGGAAGTAAACTCTGATGGAGGCTCCCTTCACCTAGACAGCCTGTCTAATTATGGACTGATACATCAGAGATACTTAAGGCACAGCAGCTCTGGAAGTTGCCACCAGGCTTGTCATCCAGGGCGAAAACAATTTAGGACAGATGAGGTTAAGGTAGAGTACTGCATTCAACTTTTAAAATGCCTGAGAAGAGAGTGGGCTGGTAAAGGTATCCATGGGCTGCTGCTAGGTCACGAGTCATAACAGAGCAGTAAGTAGCAATCACAGTGACTGTGATGGCACCCGCAGCAATTTAGGTGGGCTCTGAAATTAGCTTTCCAGGTAAATCATGGCAGAGGAGCTGAATCTGACTCACGTTTCTTTCTCCTTTTAACTGGGTCTTACACTACCACTGCCATTAATAATAGCTTTATGTCAAACAACTGACGACAGGGCAGATTTTCTTTTTAGAGTCTTTACTCCAGCCCTTCTCAGGGTCTTGGTGAACCCAGAGTAGAAAAACATGTTAAGAGGTTGGGCGAAGTGGCTGAAAGGCAAAGTGTGCTGAAAAGCCCAGCCCGGCGTGCACAGACCCGAGGACTTGGCACTGAGACAGACTCTGACCAGCACCTCTCCAGGGCACTGGCTCCTCTGGTAAAAAGCTGTCTTCGGTGTCTTCCAGTCCTGATGCTGGAGGGGTCTCTGATTACATGAACCTACAGCTCATCACGTTAGTGCTGACACAGGACCACCTCCTCCCACCATACTTTCAGTCAAGCTGCAAAGGGTCTGCCTTGCCTCTTCTCATTGTTCTTCCTCTCTAATGAGCAGTGAAATAGCCAGTAGGCAAATGACAGAGGAGAAGGGCTGGGGTAGCTTAATAACCTCTAAAATGGATGATTTAGAAAAGAAGGGATTTCTTTGAATAACCAATTGTTTTGATCCTAAAATGCCCCACAACAGAACGCACGGCAGAACTACTGACTGACAGTGATAAGAAAATTCTTTCCTCCTCCCTGATAATTCAGCATGAAGATATCAGCTAACACAGCCTTGCAAATAAGTTGAAATAATTTATCAGCCTGCCCACCCTGTCAATCAAATGAATGGTGTATGCAGGAGGCTACTTCCCAGAGTTAAACATAATGAGTGTTCCTGAGCATCTCCAGGAGGAAATAAGAGTAAGGAAAAGAAGAGAAATGACTAAAATGGCAGGAAAGACAAATCCACAGATGAAAAAGACAAACAAGAGGTGACAAAAAACGGTATCTTCTTCAGAGACTCAAGAGGAAGGGGGAGAAATAAAGAGTAAGGATTATATTTCCGTACCCTGGAGTAGGCCCCCCATTGTCCAGGTTGAAAACTTGTTTGGGGTTGAGCAGATAGTGGAATTTCCGAAGAATTCTATGGGGGTGGAAAAAAAAAAAAGAGAGAGAGAGAGAGAGACAGAGAAGGAGAATGTCATCATGAGAAGTCACAGTAGGGCAAACATCTCTGGAGCCCATTGATGGTGGGAATGAGGGTCCATTTCAACCCTAGAGGGGAGAAGACAGAATGCAGGCCCTGCAGACCCTGAAGTCTCAGGTCCAGCCACCAGCACTCAGGCCCTCACCCCCTGATTCAAGGCTTCCCCATTATCCAAGCCTCTAACCCGCAACCCCAGAAGTACCAACCTTTACAGAGAAGACAGGACAGAGAAACCCAGAAAACAGAGCTTCCATTCACCTAAAAGTTTTTCCCTCATGAAGACCTTCTCCAAAATATTCTGAATGTTCTAGGTAGTACAGTTCTGCTTTTTGTGGACTATACGAAGGCATCAAAGGACCCTCTGTGGAAAGCCCCACCCCCCACCCCCAAATCCTGGAAGCAGGAGGAAACAGAGGCAGAAGAACTGGGGCAGGCGAGGGCTGGTGACGATGACCCCATCTAGGCTTGGTTTCAAAGCTCCAGCTTAGGACTAATCCGGTCAGTTCAGAAGGGCTGCTCTGCTCCTTGGACTTGGGTGGGGATTCTCATAGCTCTTGCTTCAACTCTACTTACTATTTTTTAAAACATGGATTCCAGATCACCATGCCATCTATTCATTACCCCAGAGCTGAAGAGGACTGAGGGGCAGAGCTGCTTTGCCCATTCCCCCTCTCTCCTTCGCTGATGAGGCAAGTGCCCTGCTTTCTCAGGAGGTTCCAATCAAATGAGTCCCGCCACATCTCTTAAATCAAGAAAAGACTTGAGAGGCTAGGAAGGAGATAGGCATCTCAGGTTTGACTCTAGGTGCCATAATATAGCTCATGTGACAGGCCCTAGGCTAAGCCCTGTGTCAAATTTAATGCTCGAAACAACCCTATCAGAGGGGAAATTATTATCTCCATTTACAGAGGAGAAACCAAGGCACAGGGACAATAAGTCACTAGAACCTGGTCATCGAGTAGTAAGTAGTAGGGCTGGAATTCGAATCCAGATCTGCCTGTCTCCACAGTCTATTCTATTATGGTTGAGAGGAAGAAAGGACCCATGAGCCTGTCCCAGCTTCTCTATTTTGAAAAAGAAGAGAACATACCTTTCTCCTTGTCTCCCTCCGCTCTTGGGGTTCACCAAGACCAACAGGGGGTGGGTACCCGGGGTAGGGATGATCTTATACTTAAAAGATAAAAGAAAAAGAAATTAGCTCTGTTTCAGCCAGTAGAGGGAAGGAGATGAGAGCTGGTGCTAAGACAGCTTCTGGGAGAGGTAGATAGGAAGCAGTTCCAGGCATGGGGGAGAGGAGGGTGGGAGGTCCTCACTGGCTGAGTTTTTTGAGAGGTTAAACAGTTCAGACCACTCTTCAGCTTGAGTGGCCTTTAAGTAGTGTTAATAGTGACAATGATTTGAGGTTGAAATCAGAGATGGGACAATGGCACCATAGCTTCAAATCATTCAACAATGTTGTGGCATTGTGCCCACAGCACAAGATTAGAGTGAGGGATGTAACTGAATATGATCTTAGAAAGTATGGCCACCTGGTCAAACATCTAAATAAAATAACATTCATAAAGGTAACCATCACTTCCACCCTGGTACCTATTTTCTTCCTGAGCCCTGGTTCCACATTTCTCACTGCCCAGTGGGAACCTTCAACCAGATGTCTCACCATCAGGTCGCTCCAAACCTCAACTCGCCCCATACCTGCCCTATCTTGCCTCCCCACCCCCATAAAACTAGTCCTCTCTCCTGGCTCCCTGTTTCAGTTAAAGGCACTATCATCATTCACCCAGTCATCCAGGGGGACACCTCATCCTGCCAATTCTTTCCCTGAAATGTCCCTTTCTCTCTGGCAGCTGCCACAGTGACCACACTGCTTGGGACTTTTCCAGCTCAGGTACGTCCCGTTGTTCCCATGTAGTTCCTTCCCAGAACATCACGTCAGTCGTGCGACTCTTGCTTAAGAACCTTTGACGACACCTTATTGACCAGAGGATAAAATCCAAATCTCTTAACCTGGTGTCCAAGGTGTTTCCGGGTAGCCCCATTCGACTGTTATCTCTTAATTACTCTAACCCTCACTGCGGTTCCAGCCAAGCCTGGCTCTTACCCTCTAGCAAGCGTGTCTCCTGCATTCCCACCCTGTGGGTCTGGCTCACCCTTGTTTCCTCTCCTGCTCAATGCCCTGAGATGCCCATTTCCTTCTTTGCAACCTCTTAAAAAACTTGTCAGCCTCAGGGCCAAGTTCAAGAGCTACTTCCTCTATGAAGTTTTCCTGCATTACTGCAACCGAAACGACTGCACTTGAAACGTGTGCTTTCTTCTGGGTTTCTTTTGCTGTTGTGTCTTTGTATTTGATTTTGTTTTTTATTTGCTTAGGTAAATGTCTCAAAACAGCAAGTGGATTTTAAATGCCCCCAAAGTAGGGTGGAGGTATGTATAACTCTCCTACCAAAGACCACGTAACACCAGATACAGGAGTGGGTGCTCAATAAATACTTGTGGATTTAGCTGAAGGACACACTGATACAGAGATGCAGCTCTGCTTCACAATCAATATCTAATGCCCACTTTTCCAGATCTCAAGCTAAAATCCCAGCAAACACTGAGCCATGCTGTTTGAAATGAACGGTAGCATTCTTTATGATTTTTAAGAATTTTCTCATCTGCCCAAGGTGACTGTCTACGTGACACTCAGAAGCACCTTGGAGCTTGAGAAGTAATTCTTTACCTCTGAGAGTGATACTCAAAATATTTAACAACCTGGACAGCAAGGGCACTGCTCAGTGAGAACAGATGCAGGATAACCTGATGGAAGCCAGCTATAAGCAACTTGTATACCTGCATTGTGTGTGTGTGTGTGTGTGTGTGTGTGGTCTACGTGACACTCAGAAGCACCTTGGAGCTTGAGAAGTAATTCTTTACCTCTGAGAGTGATACTCAAAATATTTAACAACCTGGACAGCAAGGGCACTGCTCAGTGAGAACAGATGCAGGATAACCTGATAGAAGCCAGCTATAAGCAACTTGTATACCTGTAGTGTGTGTGTGTGTGTGTGTGTGTGTGTGTGTGTCTGCTCCACCTGACTTTCTGCCTTTCTAGGTGTCTAGAGCTTTCCCACATTATTAAGGTTGCCCCATCATTGCTTCCGTTTTCATTTTCAAAACACATTAATCTGCATGTTCTCATTTAATCTCGTAGCATCTCTGGGAGACAGGCGGTGCAGGGATTGCTATGCCCCTTTTCAAACAAGGAAACGTAAGGCTCAGAAGCAGAGGAGGAGGACTTAGTTGTCTATCTCCTTTTCTAGTACTCTTTGTACCTCCCTATGCTGCCTTGCCTGCATTCCCTGGGACTTTGTGGCAGCTACAAAGAGCAGATGCTCATTGGTGAACCCAAGTGAAAAATTAGCTTTTAAGTATACATTTAAGGGTGAAGAAGAAATTCTGGATGTGTTAGCTTCGTTTTGGTCAATCATATTCTGGAGACAGCTTGGCAGTCTTTGAAAACCCATTGTGTATTTTTAGGCCACATTTTTGTTATTATTTAGGGGGTGTGTATATTGAAGTTTCATGCAACTTGTTCCTGAAAAGGTGATAAAGCCCATTAGATCAGCAATGGGATCAATCAACCTCCCTTCTCACCCCTTGCCTACAGTGTGGTGGTCAAAGTAATTCTAGAGGTTGGAAATAAAGTGTCTTGTGTTATATAATTGATCAAATAAAAAAGCAAATATTGAGATATATTTCTCTAGAACCCAAACCCTGTCCTCCTCTCCAAAGTCTTGGACTAACTTTGAATGATCAATCGGACTTGGGCTTGCCAAGGTACCTGCATTACAAGTTCACCCGTGGCTGACACGCTGCCATCAGACTTCCCGCCTTGCCTGTCCTGTGAGAAGAGAGGAAAGACAAGCATCTTTTAAAAAAATGCCTAATATCAAAAAAGAGATCAGAAGAAAAACAAATGGTTAATTTAATGAAAGAGAACAGAAAACCAGTACAGTGTGGGAGGACTTTCTCAAAGTGGGGCTTTGGACCTAAAAAAAGAAATGGTTCCCTATGGGTTTCTCTAGAACTCTCCAGGACTCTGTCGTCTTTTGCTCTGACTTTAACTTCGAGACATTGGAAGAGACAGGGGGAGAGAAAACACTGAAATTGGCAGAAACCTACTTTGCTGATTTAGAAGCTCCAGCTCTGAGAAGCAAGGTCTTAGATCTGGCTTCTCTGCTCAGCACTATCTAAATGATGTGATGTTGAAAGAGTTAGTTTTCTTAGTTTTGTCTGTCCTCCTCTTTGCTTTAAAAAATGTTTATTATTTATTTTAGGGAGGTTCATTTCACATATAGTAAAATGCTCACATCTAAATCTACAGCTTGAATTTCTGCATTCAGAATGCCCTTGTAACTACTGCCTCTTCAGGTCTCACGCGGCTGTGACTCCTGAGACCATACTGGTTTTGCCTGGCTTTTGAATTTCATAGAAATGAATCATAGAGCATGTCTTTTTCTGAGTCTAGCTTCTTTTATTCAGCATTATATCTTTGAAGTTATCCATGATTTTGCATCTATGCATAGTTTTTTTCCCACTGCAATGTAGCATTCCATGATACAAATGTGCCTCATCTTTTTTTAAAAATCTATTCTCCCATCAATGTTTCTTTGGTTTGTTTCCACATTTTCACTGTTATAAATAAAGTTGCCGCAAACATTCTCGTACATGTATTTTGGTGGAATAAATGCTCATATTTCTCAGGTAGATTCAAAGGAGAGGTCCTGTCGGGTAGTAAAGTTTTGTATTTACAATTTGGTAGATACTGCCAAATGGTTTTCCAAAGTGGAGGTTTCTCTTCAGTTTTTACTGAGAAAGGAGTGGCTGGTCCAGCCAAGAATGAGCTGTGAGGAATCGTTGGGACTCGGCCACATCTTTAAGATGGAAAGGGGACAATTAAGGTGTTTGGTGCTTGTTTTGAAAGAGGAATCTTCAACCCAGGAGACAGAAAAGTTTCAGATGGAGATAAAAGAAGTGTAATTTGGCTACACTCATTTCCAAATAGGGCTGAGACACCAAAGTAGAAATCCTCCAGCAGAGGGAGGTCCATGTGTAGACACAGGAGAGAGGCTGACGGGGACAAGGGACAAGCCCTAGCCATGCTCAGGTGGTGACCGAGGTTCCTGGAGCTGTGCTCTGCCTGCAGGGTGCTTCGAAGGAATGTGTTTTCCTCGATGGGCCATTTCAGAGCATTCTGGGTCACCAGCAGTTGGAACCGTTTTAATCAGGAGAGTTTTCGTCACAATCTCACGGGTGCGGCACTGACCTCATTTAAACTTGTGCTGAAAACACACACCCGAAGGTTGTTGAGGAAGCCCTCTGAGGATTGTGAATGTCTGAATGCTGCTTCCATCTGAAATGTGCATGGGGTAGGGGTGGGGGTGGGGGCAGAGCCCTGCAGGGTGGCGGCACTTACCCGAGTGACTGGGCATATCGAGGTAGGCAATAAGATGTGGTCCCTGAGTTCCCCACCATCACACAACGTGGATAATTCACATTTGCGGTGAAACTGGAGGAAATAACGTGAGAGTGAATGAAACTGACCAAGGAAATGTCGAGTATGAGGGTTTGGAGGTTTACTGGGTAGGCAAGCTGTCTAGCGCACCCCCAAATCCTGATGCACTGCTGGCTTTGGCAGTATAACCGAATGTGTGTGTGTGTGTGTTGTGTGTGCATTGTGCGTGTGTGGTGTGTGTGTGTGTATGTGTGCTGTGTTGTGTGTGTGTCTCTTTTGTGCATTGTGTGTGTGTGTGTGTGTGTGGTGTGTGTGTGCATGTATGTGGTTAAGGGTACCAGTCTGCCATGGGCAGAGAAGAGACCAAGTGCTGCCAATGGCTGCTGGAGCAAAGCAGTCACGAGCCCGCCTGTGACCCTTCAGTGTGGCATCCTGTGTGGATTCGAGAGCTCCCTGTATATCTGCTCCCTCGGCTCTGAGACACTGGAAGGAAGATCCTGTCGAACAAATTAATGAGAGGCTGGAAGTAAACCCCGTGACTCAACCTCTGCATCTTAAGAGCTCTGCAGTTTGATCTGGAGACACGTCCTTTTTGAGGCCGACCACGGGGCTTTGTTAAGGGGACAAGACATGGCACCAAGTTTGCTTTTGCAGGCAGGTCGGGCAGGTCCAGGTGTCTAGAGGGGAAGTGAACATTGGCTGTGGCTGGCAGCAGCAGGTACATGCCTCCGGCCCAGGCAGTGGGGCTGTTGTAAAGAGTGTGCCTTCCTTTGACTCCTTAAGGGACACGATTCTAGTGTCTAATTCTTCTCCAGCTCTGCTGGTGCCCCTGGCCCCAGATGACACCTAGGTGAAGAAAGTTAAATGGTCTAGCCTGCAATTCATAGCTGCGGGGCCACACAGACAGTAGATTGGCCAGCTTGTTCTTAAGCAGCCCCACTCCCCTGGTTCTGGGGGAGGGGTGCCTCTTTCTGGGCAGCTTGGTGATTCATTGGAGGAACTGTCAGACCTAGGGCGTTGAATGGGGGCTCTGGGCTCCCTCCCAGCCTTGGCCCCCTGGCTCTGCTCATGCCCTCTGCTAGGATGTTCACTAATTCCAGGCCTCAGCTTGAGAAAAAAACCATACTGAAAAGAAGCAGGGCTGCCCTGGGCGCCAACCCACCGTCATCCGGCACCACACGCAGTGCCGCGCGGTGACACTCTGGTAGCACTTGATACTTTTGTGGCACCGGTCACACTTGACAGAAGAGTTCCCTTCCACCCACGCGTGCTGCATCACCTGCAGGAGGGAAGGGAAGGAGACCAGGGAAGGCTGCAGAACCACGCCTCGGGGCCCTGGGCCTGAGGAGGAGCACAGGGAGTGGGGAGGCCAGGAAGGGTTGTGTCCCATTTAGCTTATGCAATTATTGGGTGCTGGGCTGCTTTGCTGCATTGCACTGATGTGGTCTCTTCCTGCCTAACCACCATTTTGCTAACCACCGTAGGTTAAAAAAAAACACTTTTCCTGTGCTTTAAATAGCTCATTCACCCTGGCAGTCAAGCCTCTGAGCAGCAGCTGGTCTGGCAGTCCATCTGTCTGTCTTGCAGAACCCCTCTCAGAGTGACGTTTTTGTGTGCACCTTGTTCTGGAAGCAGCGCGATGCAGGGAAACAAAGGAGGGCTTGGGCAGCAGATAAAACTGATTAAAAAAAAAAAACACTTTTCCTGTGCTTTAAATAGCTCATTCACCCTGGCAGTCAAGCCTCTGAGCAGCAGCTGGTCTGGCAGTCCATCTGTCTGTCTTGCAGAACCCCTCTCAGAGTGACGTTTTTGTGTGCACCTTGTTCTGGAAGCAGCGCGATGCAGGGAAACAAAGGAGGGCTTGGGCAGCAGATAAAACTGGTTGGAGTCACTGATTTTCCACTTCGCAGCAGGGCGACCTTTGGCCAGTTCCTGGACCTCTCTGAGTCTCAGGTCCCTCATCTGTAGAAATGGCATAATAAGCCCCACCTCTAGGTTTGCTGGAAGGATTAAATGAATGTGTCCTTCCTGAGTCCTGGCCCTTTGGAGGGGCCCACTGATGGATAACTTCCCTTCCCGTCTTCTATAGGCCGGTGGCTCTCAGCCTTAGCAGCCCATCAGAAACACCTGAGGGAGCTTCCAGAAGTTCTAAAGCTCAGCCCTCACTCCAGATCAAATAAATTAGAGTCTCTGGGGACGGGACCCATCATTAGTATGTTTTAAAGCACCCTGAGTGATTACAGTGTGCCCTCAAAGTTGAGAAGAACTCTTAGAAGGAGCTAGAGAAACAGGCCAACGCTTGCAGCTTTCACATCTGTTTCCTGGAGAGCTGGTTGTATCTGCTCCCTGGTCAGGAAATGACACTAGGGCAGCCTAGGAGCTTGGGAAGCGGGCAGGAATACATGTGTATGTGTGTGTCTGTGAGTACAGCCACCAAATTCTGGGGGGCCTGAGGCCTCAGCTGTCTCCCCCAGGAATTCTACAGCACTTCTCAAAATTTTCCACCAGGGCACCCTGGATAGCAGAAGGAAGAGGGCATGGACTCTAGGGGAAAGTGGGGGGTCTAGTCTGAAGGGCCAACTACAAATGCAATATCAAAAACACATGAAATATTTGCATGATATCATCCATGTTTGTATTAAAGTTTTAAATTACTTATTAATTAAGTTACTATGCCCTCCTCCCAAATGGTTTTTGGTAAAATTGTTGTTTTTGAAGACGTCACTTTTATTTTGTAGCTTCTCACCTTCTGCCATTCATCCCCTGAGTGTATAAAGAACCTAGTTTGCTAATCAATTTGTCATCTACATGGCCATATTGAATTTGCTCCGAGGTCATTATTATTTCCATTTTGCAGAGAAAGAAATGAGGCTTCAGAGAGGTTAAGTGACTGGCCCTAGGCTCCAAGGCTGCAAAGTGGCCAAGCAGGGCTTCATAGCCAGGTCTTCTGACTCCAAGTCCACGGTTGTCTCCAGACACCACATTGCCTTCTCCATCCTCTTCTGGGATTCGAAGAGATGATGAAGGACTTGGGTTGCTCCTGAAGACTCAGAAGGTTGTGAATGTGTCCTGCTGGCCCCTCAGTGGCCTCCCTCTGTTCCATGTGTGACAAGTGACCAGAGTGCAGGCTTAGAGCCTAAGCCCAGGAGGTATACCATGCATCCTGGTGAAAGGCATGGACATGGAAAGGTGTATGGACGAGGCCATGCAGTGTCTCATGGGGCATGCATGTGTGCCCTTGGAGGAGCCCTCTCTTTCAGAGGCTGGATATTACTCCCACCTGCTACCCATCTCCTGACTCAGATTCCTCGTTGGAATCTTCCCTGCAGGAACTCAAGAGTGTCCCTCCCCTGCTAATTTTGAGAAGAACCTATTTCCAGACTCGGTGAACAGCACCACCCAGTGGCCGAGTTCCCAACCTCTTTCCTTCTCTCATGCTCTACATCTCTATCACCAAGTCCCAGAGGTGGTACCTCCAAATTATCTCTCAAACTCTCCCTTCATCTTTTCTACCTCCGCCAGTAGGACAGTCAAAATACTCAACAGCTTGCATGGGTGGGAGTCACGCAGCATAGACACAGCCACCACTGTGCTGCTGTGGACATGTCAGAGCACAGCTGGTGAGTGCAGACCTCACCCTAGCCGGGCCCTCGGTGCAGCACTCACTGTTGGGAGAGTTCTTTCCCTCAGACCTCTCTCCTGCACCATGCCTCCTGCTAGGATGTTCACTAATCCCTGGCCTCACCTTGAGCAAAAAAAAAGAAACACACTGAAAAGAAGCCGGGCTGGAAGAAGCAGAGCAATTAATTTAATTCGCAAACGCAGTGGTCTCCTCATGTGCTCAAAGCAACTCTAGTGTCCCCTTTGCTGCCTGGGAAACTCCTTTCCAACTCCTCATCTGGCGTCCCAAGACCTTCTCAGGCTGGATCTCACCGCTTTCAGAACATATCTCCTGCCACTTCCCTTTACGCGTCCTCTGCTTAGTCACACCAGACTAGGTGTGGACCCAGGATAAACCACGTCTCCTCCGTGCCTTTGCACGCGAGGCTTCTTCTGCCTGGGGGCCATGCCCTCATCCGTGTGTTGTGAAGTCCTCCTGATTTGGGTTCAAGAGACAACTGAAATGCCATCTGCCTGTAAAAGCTTCCCTGCTTCCTCCCTTGGTGCCTCAACTGTGCATCCCCCACAGCCCTCTGGCTGTCCTCCATTTCACTACTTAGTACTCTGCTTACCTGCCTGTCTCTCTCCTTATCTCGAGTCTGCACAGCTCCCCAGCAGGCTGAGGTCCATCTAATAACCTGTGTCCCCCTAGCACAGTGCCTGGTACATGGTGGGCACTAGGGAGATGCTTAATGCATTGATGGATGAATGAGATGGTTTAAGGATAATCCTCAAGACAGAGAAGGGACTGGATAAAGCTCCCAAAGCCCCTTCCTGCCCAGGAATCTGTGGTGATGGACATGTTGCCTGGGACGCAGCATGCAGTAAAACAAGGCAATAGGTGTCACCAACCTCGCCGCCCCTTTTGGTTTTTGAGTACGTTTTGACACATCCGGGAATGTTTTTGGATACACAGCGTTCGTGGACGGTGTATTTGCAGTCTGAAAAAAATAAAAGTAAGGAGGAAAGTGCTTGTGAGTGACCACCTAGGAAGGTCCAGCTACACCACCCCCAACCCCAGCTGAGGCCCATGCCTCCTTCTCAGTGGCCAGTCAGGGGCAGGGGACATATGGAGCTGGCCTTGCCTAATAGAAATTCAAAATAGTCTCCAGTTGTTCACTGAGAAGAGAGTCCACAGTTCTCCCAGGCACGCTTCTGTACCCTCCACCCTGCCAGACTGCCTTCCTCTGTGGGCAGTGAATGTGGCAGGAGAGCATCTCCAGAGGGCATTTTCTACTTGAGGGCAGTGTGAGGAGTCATCCTCGCTATCTATGGGTCGCAATGGCTATTTCATAAATTATTATTATTGTTGTTGTGTCTACTACTTACTACTATGTGAACAGCAGAGGCCCAACCTAGAGCTTAATCGGAATGAGACTGAGACTGAATCTATAAAAAGTAGTGAAAGCTGGATTTGAATGAGTGCTAGAAAGACTGGTGGGTCCTTTCTTTAGTCTTCAGATGCTCTTGGTGAACACTGGGCCCAGCTGTTAAGATGACTTTTGTGGCCGCGGTTACCTAGCTCACGTGTGCATGTTTAAAAGAAACACTGATGACCTGGACACACTCATGGGCCCTCCCCGGTCTCTGGTGGGTTCAGATCTGTCTGTATTGTGAGGTGATTGGCAGGACTCTGCACCCATGTACCCTGAGCCCTACAAAGCTTTCTCACTGCAGCCACCCCACTCTCCTCCTGTTCCCCAAATCCTACATGACCCATTCTTCCTTCCTTCCCCTCCATCTCTTTTTTCTGTTCTCCTCTCCAGTCTCCCTCTCTTCTTTTTCAAGTGTTTTTCTCTTGTCCCGTCTGACTTTACTAAATGGATTATAAAGTGAAACAATAGATAGTCTTAATTTCCACTGCATTTACAAATATAGTTTCATGTTACTTATTATTTTTTTTTTATAAAGGTTCTTCTGACCGCCCAAACTATTCACTAGTAAAACCCAACTGCAATTAGTATGAGCTACTTTTTAATTATGTGCGAACCTTAATAACTTTTTCCGAGGTGAGGGAGGGGCATGTCAGCAGCCCATGACAGCACTTCAGCAATGGGACCACACTTATCTATTTGACTTGGGTAGAACAAAAATAGAACATGGAGGTTTCGCTTTATTCTCTGCTGTCGAAACAATATGAGAGGTCCTTTAAGCTAGGAAGCAGAAATACCGAGAGTTTTTCTAGAATGCCTCAACCATGTGCAGAACAAGATACTTCTTGGGGAAAAGGGGTTTGAAGGAAGTTTACTCACAAATGCAGCACAGGCCTTGTTTCCGAACGCCCATCAGCATGACGTGGCACAAGTTGCAGTAGGTTGGTTTCTTGAAATGCTTCATGGTCCAGGCGTGCCTCCCATCCCCCGAGGAGCCCTGCAGGAATAGGAAGGAAATGGGGCACCCAGCAGGTGACTCAAGCTGGCAGAAGCCGTGGGCTAGCAGAAGCCTCCTGTCTGCCTTCTTCTTTCTAAAAAGACTCTTTTCTCATTTTTGAAGGATAAGATATTAAATTATTTTACTGATGTAAGGACTCTTTTAAAAGAAATGGAAATCAAAAGGAAGTTCTTTGTGTGTGTGTGTTTTCTAAGATTAGCAAATATTAAAAATTATTAAATATTAAAAATTAGGGATATCTGAGTGAGAGTATATGTTGTGGGGGGCAGAAAACAAGCCCTTTCTTACACGGCTGGTGGAAGTGTAAATCAGAACAAACTTTCTATCTATCTATCTATCTATCTATCTATCTATCTATCTATCTATCTATCTAATATCCTTTAAATGTTTGTAAACTTTGACTTACAAATTTTATTTCTTGGATTCTATCCTAAACAAATAATTTTTAAAAGACAGGTAAGCATTTTTCTGCTCTATCCAATGTTTAACCTAGCAAAATAACACAACACTGGAAATATCCCGAAGGTCTCAAAATTACCAAAATGTTAGTTGTGGTAGAGCCATGCGATTTAATGTTAAGTGGTCATCAAAAAATATTGATAAAAAATATCTAATTGCATGGAAATATGTTCATCATACAGTGCTATATAAAAAAAAGTAGAATGCAAATTTGATGATCTATTATGATCTCGGTTTTATATAATAAGATCTTGGATGGGAAGAAATGTCACTAAACTGTTAACAGAGGTTAGCTAGAGCTGGAAGCACTATGAATTTATTTATTCTCTAATTTTTATTTTCTGTATTTTCCAAATTTTTTATCGTGAGCATGTACTAGTTCTATAATCAGAAAAAAGTAGTTTAGTAAAAACAATGCACTCTTCTCATTAACTTTCTGTACACAGAAAAAACAGTAAAACAGAGAGAGGGTTAAGACATTTCCTCCTGACTTGGCTCAGAAGCAAATTCATCCTTCTCCACTAGATAAGCCAAGCCTCACACAATCCCACACTTTCCTGAACACCAAAGCTCCCACTATCTAGCCTCTGAGCACGCAGCCTTGCTGGAGGCTGTGACTTTCAAACTTCCCTCCTTGAATTTTGTCCCTGAACCTTTCTCATACATTCCATCAAAAGAGCACCACTCTAGGCTGGGCCTTAGGGCAGTAAAAAAAACTACTGTAGTAAGGTGGTGAGGGTTGACAGTCAGGTACTAAGAGTCCAGCGCACCGGACTCAAACCCGGTTCTTACTTCCAGGCCCCTCTGGTTTGCTGACTTCTGCTAGCGGTCTCTAGAGGAGCCCATATACTTTTCTAAATGCCAGTCTCCTCCTGGGGTCAGGGTAAGCTCTTTTTCCCTCACTGCCTCGAAACCTTACTTCTTCCAAGACCTGAGATGTATAGAATTATAGCCTTTTTACCTAATATTTTTTACTTTAATAAATAGGTTCACTAATTGATTAAGTGATTTGTTAAAAGACCGATTCATTCATTCCTTGACAAACATCATCCTCGAGGGATTTTTGTAAGAATTAAATTAAATAATACAAGCGAATCTCCTAATTCAGCGCCTGACACATTGTAAATTAAAACTTTTTATTAAGCTCCTACTCCATGCTAGACAGTAGAGGACACACAAAAAAGTAAAGAATATTTTCTTATGTATAAGGAGGTAGATTTACACCTATTCTAGAAATGAAAAAATGGAGACTCAGAGAAGTTATATAAATAGCCCAAGACTGCACAAGTAATATGTGACTAAGCCAGTAGTCAAACTGGGGGCTCTTGCTGGCCTCCTTCCATCTTTCTCACCTTCCTCCACAAACCAGGGTGTTATTCATAGACAGAAAGGAAACTACAGCACTGTTCAGTGGGCCCAAAGGACTGTCATTTTACCTGCAAACATCTTTATTAACTAAATCGGTTAGCTGACTCTCTCTTAGATATTATTTTCACAGATATTAACTAAGAAGGAAAAGGACCCTTTTTTGTTTGGGTTATAGCACCATCATGTGGCTCGTTCATTTCTACACAATTGGAGGTTGCAGGATGTGGACGTAACCTTCCTCATGCACTAGGCTGCTTCTGCATTTTCACTGGGAGACAGATTGTTTCTCATGCATCGCATTCAGAGATCTCAGACTTTTTAGTGGCCATGTGTGGGTTTTGAAAAAGCCAAACGAGCAATGTGACTTTTTAGACACTGAGGAATGTACTCTCTGTGCCCCAAATATTAAATGTAGAAACTTAAAATTTACTGTATATTTAAAAATAAATGCATAAAACTTTTGATTAATAAAAACTAAATTCACATTTGTTTTTTGTTTGCTACATTCTTGATTTGGAGGAGACACTGGGGAGAATGTTGAAGAAATTGTCTCTCCCTCCTCCAGCCATAAAACAGTAGGTCCACCCCATGCAAAGGACTGGTGGCACTTTGGGTTCAGCAAGTCCAAGATAGCAAATAGAAAATAGACATTTGTTCTTTGTGATTAAAATATCTCATCTCTATTTCCATGTTTCAGAGAAAAAACAGGTATGTTGGAACAGCGCCCAAGTAGAACTTCTGTTTTGATTCAGGTATAGTCTTGAATATTATATAGCAGAAAGTATATCTACTTATGTGAGCGCCCCCAGGTCCTCGCTCATTTGGGTTCTTGCACTCAGTAGCTTTTTGGTAAAGGGTCACTGAATGAGTGGTCTGCTGTTCCTGAATATGGAGGATGGCCTCTGGTACTAACCAGGTACTAACGGGCAAGTCCTTTACCTCTCTGGCCCTCAGTTTGCAAAATGAAGGGGATAGACCAGGGATCGCCAAAGTCTATTTCAGCTCTGACTTTCTAGGGTTCTAAGGAATAAGAAGGGAGTTGCATAGATCCTGGTTCCTTGATTTCGATTGAGTAGTTGGAAAGAATTGGACATGCTTTTAGATGATAGAAGGATTCTTAGTTCTCGAGTATTGGAAATGAAGGCTCAGCGTCGGTTCTGAAGTGCAGAACTGTCAGATGGAGACGTAGCTGGAAACGACCGTCAGAGGATAGCCCGGCTGAACTTCCTGTTCCATTCCTCTCTATAACATTTCCGTAATCTCAAAGAGGTGGCACACAACCTGGTAAATGCTCAATGTCACCATTTCTACCTCCTGTATGAAAGTTACCTCCCTTGGTAATTAAGCAGAAAATACAGTAACTGATTAGGTCAGATGCAGGCATATATAACCACTGACTTTCCATTAAACCTCTAAATTTATCCCCTACTCTGATCAAACTGGGAGGTTTCTCTAATACACCTTGAACTTTCTTTCATTTGAGTCTTCGATCAAGGTATTCTCTTGACCATAAACTCTCTTTTCCATGATCTTCTAACACAAAATCATACCCGTTCTTGTAAATCAGATTAAACATCCTTCTAGGTCCATCTACTTGATCTTTATCTAAAAAATAGGATATCAAAATTGCATGTATGATACCTTCAGGGCCAGAGCAAACACCTTCCAATATTTCTTCCCACTGATCTCACCCCAAAGTGTGGGTCATTAGAAAGTACAGGATCTTTGGTATCAAGGACAAATCAATTCTGGCTCCTTTTTTGTTCCTTAGGCTAAGAATCTCAGTTTTCTGTTCGTATAAGTTGGGGAAAAAATACCTACTTTATCTGGTTGTTTTGCTTGTTAAATAAGATACCATCATTGACTGCCCTTCTCTTCACAATGAATTGGTATTTTTTCCTTTTCTTCTTTCTTCCTCAACTCCCTAAGAATTGTTAACCCTAATTTGTGACAAAGATAGAATTCTTCCTTGACATTTGTTTGGCCTTTGCCTGGTCGAGTATAACCTTCTGGTGGGTGACTATGATATCTGTGTCCCCTCACAGAGCTCAAAACAGTACCTTTATTTAGTTATAATTTTGGACGCATCTGTCAAATGAATGAATATATTTCAGTCACCAATAGGGTAAAAAGAGAGGACTTTTGTCCTGGCCTAGAGCACTAGGGCAGAAGCCAAGGCGACGTATAGATGTTAACTTCCACATAGAGCTCGATGTTCCTGAAAGGCAAGAGATCTTTGAGCTCAGGCTTGCTGACTTACAGAATCATCCATGCCCAAGAGGACCAGCAATGGAATGGTGGTCATCCCTCCATGGACCCATTCCTGCAGAGACACAAAGCCGTCCCGGTCGTAGTCCATTCCTTGCAACATCTCCTTCAGTATCTGCGGAATCCACAGAGCAGCAATTGTCCACTTTCATCCTCGACTTCTCTGCCCACCTCTGCCCTCTTATTTGTTATGCATTGCCTGGCTTGTGTTTTACCTCCTTTCCCTCTGATTCACAGTGAGGAGAGCAGTGAGGGAGCAAGTGGGGGTGAGGAGACCAGGGCTCCAGGCCTGGCTCTGCCCTACCCTGGACAGAACCCTGACCCTGGGTTCTGCTTTGCTCATCTGTAAAATGGAAATAACATTGCTATATCTGTAGCACTGCAGTGAGGATTAGAAAAAAGATATATAAAATATAATGATTATCTTATCCGGTGATTGAGAAGAATCTTTAAAATTCTTTCTAGCTGTAAACTCTTTGATCTATGAATGCTTGTTATAAAAATTTAGCGCTGGTGAAAAGGTTAGGGAGAATTATTCTTTGAATTATGTCTACACTTTCCCCCACTGTCTATAATTTTTTCCTATTAGAGAAGTGTGAGGTCAAGGTGTAGGATCCCAGAGAAGCTGTCTGTAAGCAGATGAGTAGCGGGGAGCCTGCATAGTAAACATTTGTATGCAAGTCCTGGGTGTGTCCCACTTGTCTCTTGGAAGCTCACTTGGAAGTTGCCCCATGTTTCTGGAAACTCACAGGCCTTAGCTCCGTGGGATCCCACTCAAGATACTGGGCAATGTGCAGCATTTGGTTGACAATACGATCCATCTCCTAGAACACATCAAAGGGAGAAACCAAGTGAAGGTGTGTTTTCCAGAGCAAGACTCAACATCAAACCCCGTGTGGCAAGATGGGCAGAGCAGAGTATGAGAAGCAGCCAGTGCAATATGCTGGCATTTCATGGGGAGGACAATTGTGTAGAACCGGTATGTTCCACTGGTCAGATGTCCTGGTCAGTTATAGAGGGCAGAAGTAAACCAAGGGGTGTAGAGAGGAGGAGTTGAGGGTTGGCCTATTTTGTCCTTGCCACTGGGGTGGCGAGCGGAGAGCAGAATCAGGTTTTGTATTGAAATTGCTCTGGCAGACTAGAGGTGCCTTTTGTACAGGAAGAAAAACCTCTCTAACAGTCACCCCAGCAGTGGAGCTGCTGTTTCAAGGCAGTGGGTGAACTCTCCCGTCCTGGGAGTGTTCACAAAGAGGCTGGGTGTCCAGTTGCCAGGGATTCTTGGAAAGTTGAATCAAATAACTCTTTTTGAGACTGCTTCAGTCCACTGAAGTTACCTTCCAAATATATCTGGAATTTAACCACTTCTTACCACCTGCAATGCTTCTACCCTGGTGCAAGTTACCATCATTTCTTGTTTTGATAGTTTCAATAGCCTCCTACCCAGTATCTCTTCTTGCACCCCTATAGTCTGGACTCAACACAGCAACTAGAGTGATCCTATTATAACTCAAGTCAACTACGTCGTTCCTCCACTCAAAATCTCCAGTGGTTCTCCATTTCTCCACATAAACCCTCTCAATCACCTAAAGGCTCGAAAATGGTTTGCAAATTTCTTCCACCACCACCCCCAGCCCCGCATCCCATTACTCCTTTGATCTCACCTCCTATTACTTATTGACTCTGACCTCATCTGTCACTAATTTCACTAATTCTGCTTCCTAGTTAATCTGCTAACATTTCAGGCACCCCTCAGGGCCTTTGCTCTTGCTGTCCCCTCTCTCGAAAGGCACATCCACTGATATCCCCATGACTGTGTCCCTCACCTCCCTCAAGTCTCTGTTCGGACGTCCCCTCCTCAGGGAGACTTTCCTTGGCTCCTCTAGCTACAACCGCAGTTCTCCCCAACACTTCCTTTCCCTCTTTCATTTTTCTTTTAGCACACTCCTCTAGCACATATTTTCCTATGTTGTTCAGTAAGTGTTGCATTAGAGCGAAAGCTTCATGAGGGCATGGACTTTTGTCAGTATCCTCAGTGTTAGAATAGTACCTGACACATAATAGGTACTTAATAAATACATGTTGACCAAATGTTTGAATCTGTGATTCTCTGGTAGTTCCTTGTCATGACCCAACCCATGGCACTGCAATGTGGCTGTAGGGATCTCATAAAGACACTCTGGGGTTTAGAGGAAACTGAGATCTTTTGGTTGGTCTAATAAACTTGTTCCCCTTCTCCTTCCCTCTGGTCTAATTCAGCCCTATGCACCTCAACCTCAGAGCCTTTGTGTTCACGAGTTCCATCTCTAACACTGCCGGCCATGAAGACAAGGCCTGTCTGACTCTATTTGCCCTCTCCCCTCTCTGCCTTCTTCCTTTTCCATCCTTCCTTTCACTGCACCTATCCCTTCTTATTCCTGAGCGGTAGGGGTGAGTCTCAGGCTTTCCCAGGTGCAATGAGATGGAACCATGTGCTCAGAGCACATAGAACCAGATTCCTAGAGCTAGTGACCTGGGGTACGAGAGGAAGGCAAGGGTGATGCCAAAGCACACAAGCAGTTACCTGAACCTTCCTTCCTCCTGCCCTCTCGCCCTGGTCTTGCTGCCTCTCCCACCTCCTCCTGCCTGCCCCTGAGCTCCAGCAGGAAATTGTAAGGAGAATTTCTGAACCCATTAGGAAGTTAAACTAGAGGAGATACTAAAGCATCTACCCATTCTGAAATTTTATGATCCTGGGTTTCTGGAATAAAAAGGCAAGTTGAAGTTCACTGTCCTCCAGGCTGGCTCTTTGGAAATAGAATGTGGTGGTGGTGGGGGGGAGTTGGGGCGGGGGAGGTTCTATTCATTTCTGCAGCCCATATTGAGACATTGTTGTTCTTGTAAAGATGAAACAGTTTTCAGACTCTTTATCCACTGGCTCCCCTCTCCCCCAGGCTTTCTTGGATCAAGGAGGGATGTTGGGAGAGCTTACCGCTTGGTCCAGGAGACCGTTCTCATCTGAATCATAGAGACGAAACATGACTGAAAGAAACACAGAGGTGAGGCTTGAGGTGTCCTCCAGGCACCAGGGACGAGCTGAGGCTCTGTTGCTGCCAGTTTTTAGATCAGTTCTGACCATCACTGGGGCAAAGGCTGTTGCAACCAGCTCAACCCACTCCCCAAGGCACAGAGTCTGACTTCCTTACAGAGAGTGTGGGAAGAGGGAAGAGAACCAAGCTACCTGGCTTCTGGGACTGCCTAAGCATTAACTCCGTGGCTGGTGTAGAGCATTTGTATCTCTCAGCATCACTGGAACACAACTCAAAGCAAGTGCCCAGCTGATGGTGGGGCAGAGGTACCAGAAATATAGATGGAGCATTGCTTCTATTGCACACAGAAAGGGTGTGGAGTTAGGCAGATTCAAATCTTGGGCCTGCCCTACTACCTCTAAGGCATCAAATAAGTCAACTTCTTTAGGCTCAGTTTCTTCATCTGAAACATGGAGAGTATAATAGTTTCTTTCTCCTAGTTTTTTTAAAAATGAAAATAAATATGTAAATCATATACTAAATCTACAGTGCTTGGAATGTAGAAAGCACTCAATTTACTTTATTTGTTTTTATATCCTTTCATTAATGAACATTTATATGTAGCATTTAACATGTACAATGTACTGTCCTGTGCGCTTTGTCATTATTAGTTATTTAATCCTCAATAATGTAGTCATTATCACAGAAACTATTGTATTTCTTTTTATAAAATGTCAACATGCTGTTCAGAAACACCCTCTATATCATGTGTTAGTGGTAGGTGATGTAGGATAAGGACGACCTGAAAGAGATATCTGAGCAAAGGACTAAAATGTTCACTTATAGGACCTGGAAACTCCCATTTCGTTCATCTAAAAGGTAGAGATCCTGTCTGTGGTCTCGGAAGTAAGCAGGGTGGGGAGCAGAGCTGAACATGTCTCCATATTCCTCCCATTCTTTACAACCCTTTGTCCTGCCTGCTTTCTCTGCGGACCACCCCTCCCCAATTCCTCCCCCATGCAACCACTTTGGGTCTCACGGGGCCACATCACTCCTATCAAGTTGCCTTTCGGTCTTCACTTCCTTCTACATGTTTTAGTGTCTCCGCAGCTTGTTTATTCAGTGGTGTGTCTCTGGTTTGAGCTTAAATTGTTTAAAGTAGGGTCATGGGCTTCTGATTTTTTGTGACTCCTCAGAATGTCCCAGTCAGAGGCACTCAACATAGGAGGCTGACTTACCCAACAGATGGTTGCATGATGTAAAGAAGGAGAGAACTTCCCACTGGGCATTGCTCCCAGGTCCTGGGCCGGGATGAGTCTCTAACACAAAACTCTCTCGGTCCTATTGTGTATGAACAGTAGAACTAGAAAGTGTAAGCACCTATTTATTTCAGCATCCTGGCCTCAGGCAAGTCGTTTAACCTTTCTGTGCTTTCTTTCATGTAAAATGAGAATAATCCTATCAATCTTCTTGGGTTATTATGAGGTTAAAATGAGATAATTCATTTAAAATGCTTAGCAAATACAAGGTGTTCGATGAGAAGAGTTATTATTGTTATTATTGCATTGGTGATAGGTGGGATTTCAGGCTATTACTTCCAAAAACACACGTTTGGTTATTAAAAAGAAAAGCTTAATTTGTTTTCAATCATTAAAATCAAGGGAGGATTTGAATCTATTTGGTTTAATTAAACTCTACAGGACAAATGACCAAGGTCCCGTGACAATAAATTACAAGGAAAAAAAAATAAGCAAAAGATTTAAAGAGACTGGAGAGACATGATAACCAATGGCAATGTATGGACCTAACCTGGATCCCGATACAAATAAACAGTTGAAAATATATAAGATAATGGGGAAAATGCAAATGCTGACTGAATATTTGATAATAGTAAGGAATCATTTTCTTTAGATGTGATAATGGTGTTGTGGTTATATTTAAGACAAAGTCATATTTTAGAGGTACATACTGAAATATTTACAGACGAAATTATATGATGTCTGGAATTTGTCTGAAAATAACCTGAGGTAGAGGGAATGGATAGGAGGTATAAATAAAACATGATTGACCATAAACTGGTAACTGCTGAAGGTGGCTGATAGGTACATTGAAGTTCGTTGTACTCTCTACTTTTATCTGTGCTTGAAATTTTCTACAATAAAAAGTTTTTAAAAATGTTTCTTTTTATTGGTATTGTAAGACTGAGTCTGAGAGCCACGAATATGAAGAATCTGTCACATTCTCTCTGGTATTTATGAACAAATATAACACCTGAAGCTCAAAATCCAGCTGAATGTTGGAAATAATTTGACATTTCACTTTTAACATTAGCCAGAAGAAACAGAAATTTGCTACATCTGCTTCCAAATTAGCCTTTAAGATCTGCAACTGTTAGCACCTCAAACCTATGGAGATGATTTCAAACTCCGCTAATGAGCAAACTGTTTCATTTTGTTCTTGGCAGGGATTAACCTTTACCAGACGTTTCCTTGCTAATGTTTAAGCTTTGTTCATTAGTCTTACTAATTCCTGGAATTTTGACTTTTGTATGTGTTTTCTCCTTAATGTCTACTAAGGTCCCAAGAGAAGCCAAACAATATTCACATATTTTTAACAAGGTCCTATCATTTCCTGCTTTAAAAAGTTTTCCTGCAGGCTCACTCAGAGGCCAATGAGACCATCCCTAGAGTGAGTCATCTGCAAGACTGTTTCAGCCACTGCGGGCTTTCTTTCTGTCACCAGCTATTACCTTCCTCCTGAAGATAAGTTTTTGCAACCAATTTTAGTAGCAGCATGAAACCAAGCTCAACTCCCTTAATTAACTAGCTCCTTTTCTCTAAAGGCCAAAAAACTTGGGGTGGGGATAGGAGATGGGTGAGAAATGAAAATAAATAAGCTTTCATAAGACAGAGGTTGATTAGATCTCAAGAAAAAAAAATTCTTCATGGGTAAGAGTTGCTTGGGCACGGAAGACGAGAAGGAAGACAGATGCTGAACATCTTCCCTTGAAAAATCTACTAAGGGGAGGCAACAGCTTCCTAGTTGCAGGCTTTCAGGAAATTCTGCCAGCAAAAGAAGGGAGTCTTGACCCCTTGCAGAGATCCCTTCCCTTTCCAAATCCTGGTTCTCAATACCAAGACCTCAGATGCATTTCCCACTCTCCATACAACTGATGCTGGACCCCAGGGTTGACTCTAGGAAATGTTTATATCACTGCTCGCGACAGGGCAGGAAAACCTCTCCCAATGGGGCAGGACCTATACCCATGATCCCAGAACAATCTCCAGCATGTTTAGAATGATGAGCAGGACAGTAGATATTCCTCTAGGAAAAAAGCTGAGGCCCCTTGTCGGGGTGAGTACTTACATTCTAGCTTATCCTGAGGTCTCCCCATCTCCAGCAAGGACAGATAACACACGACATCCTTCAGGTACACGATGGGGGATTCTGAGCCTGAAGATTGAGCAGCATGGTTTTCCAGGGGGACTGAAGCCGCTTGATCTTTAGCTAGCACTTGCTTCTCGGTGATCTTTGATTCCGTAATAGCTAAGAGGAAAGCATCCAAGGACACAATGTTTAGTAAATATTAAATTCTTTTCATGGTAGAAGCAGGAAGTTTATGTAAGTATCTTCAAAAGCACTGGTTACGTAAATATGATCAAATCAGTGGCACTAGAAATCCAGCTTGTGGAGTTCATACTCTGAATGGACCCTAATCTGACTCTTTTAAGTGTCTGTATCCTTGTAAAAAATTCACCTATACTCTGCAAAAGGAGGATAGTGATTTTTAGTAATATCAATAGCCAACAGTTAAATGTCATTTAATCTCATATTTTGGGAACACGCCCAATTCGTAGAGGTAATTTTGGATAGGATTCCAAAATCCAGACCATTGGTCATTTATTGATACACTTTTTTACCAGTTTCTTCTCAAATACATTTAATGATGAATAAGATGATGAATAGGTCAAAAGAGAAAACTGGGAGTGACCATCAACTGATTTCCAGAAACTAGGAAGAATTTTGACTAACTGCAAGTCTAACCAGTTGAATAAGAAAATGCAGAAAGTGGTTTATTGTACCACAGGAATAAAGTTTTCCCTCTGAAATTTTCCTTCTCATAGGTAGGAAAACCCTCTGTTCTTTCTACACAATTTGTCCTCCAGGTCAGAAATATAAGGTTACTAACTAACCATAAAATTAGGCACCTATAATTTACTATGTGAATTATACTTTTTGAGGCATTTTGAGTGCTATCTCTCTTCTCCCAACCTCTGTATATCCATATTTACCAAAAATTATCTCTGAATATCCAGTAAGAGGGTGCAACTCACAGAAAACACTAAATAGGCTATATCAAATGAGAATTTAGTTTCTTCTTCTGGCTTCTGCTTGGGCAAAGGAAAAGGCTGGAATTTTCAACAGATGGAAGTTCCAGTACTTGGCTCTTCCTTGCTGGGATAGGCTGTTCTCTGTATTGTCTGCCTGGCCCTATGTTCTTGTTTCTGGTGAACAAAGACATCTGATTAAGACATCCATGAAAGGTGGCCTAACAGGAAAAAGATTTTCTACTTTAAATCTTGAATCACAAAAGAAGGTGAAAAAAGTGTTGTATGCCTCCCTTGTCCAGGAGCCAGATAATTGCCCTTTCATGATTTGACCACAGGAGATGAATATTCTCCATGTATAAGAGAAACCAATTCTCCAGGAGAAAGACCCTGGAAGTTACTTTCAGACCCAGAATGATATAGATGTGGCCAGTAAGCATGGTGGTCAAGTAAGTCAGCCGACTTCGATTATCATCATCAATTATCTTTTCTCACATATCACATGACAGCATCCCCAATAGATCTTTCCTTGGAACTTCAGAAACTTTGGCCATAAAACAATCCACCCCCAGCCAAGGTGGAAGCTCAGGGAATAAAGTGTAATGTCTCTCAGGTTCCTCTTGAAGTTCCAGATACTTGGGCTAAGACAGTCTCTGGGTAAGGAATTTGGGGCCAAATTCTTTTCATGGTTGATTTTCTTGCTGAGAGTTTAGAATCTCAAAGCTTCCAGTTTCACTTTCTTTTCTACCATGAGAGTGATCTGTGTCATACTGTGCCTCTTCTATTCCACATAAGATTCAAGACTTATTTGTGATTTAATCCTATTTGCCCAAGGTGCCATGGACCTAGCGTGGGACGCTGGCAGGGGTGTGGATGAGCCCATACTTCGTAGAGTCTCACCCTGCTGCTGTCCCTGAAAGCCTCAGGAAGGCACCGATGCTTTTAATCCTTGCTTTTTGGAGCCCCATGAGCAGTCTGGAATTTGCTGAGCTTATGGTCCAGAGGCAGCTCTCCATTCCAAGTCATGTTCTGCTTTCCATTCATAGCGAGTCTTTTTTTTTTTTTTTTTTAAATCTCACCAGTCTTTCAGTTAAACACTGAAAACTTGATAATCCTTCTAGTTGCCCTTTAAGCCGTGACTGGAAAAATGATTAGAACATCTGGTATCCACTGGAAGACAGTCTCTCATCCTAGGTCCCTATTACAATTAGTTCTCATTCAGTTGTATTATCTCCTATCTATACTGTGTTATATATATTTGAAAGATATAATAAAACTGCACTCTTTATCCACTGGGCACAATCCAAGAGCTGGAATTCACCAATATGAATCAATCTTTTCCGGACAATAATGTGCAGGAAATTAGGTCTGACTCTCAGACTCTCTGTATTTGAAGCTCCAAGGGCAAGCTGGGAGGTAGACAGTCTCTGAGAGTCCTTCCACGGCAATAGGATGCCCATTTGATACACTTGGAGATTGAGGGTGCAGACTGAAGAAGAACTTGGCAGACCATGATGAGTTAATAATAAAGTATACTTCTAGAGAGTGGCCTGAGTAGTAACTGCTAATATTTACTGAACATTCATTGTGTTCTAGGCGCTGTTCTAATTATTCTACACATATAACTCACTTAACCTCCATATCAACACATTATCATCTCGTGTTACAGATGGGGAAGCCGAGGCACAGACACACTATAGGGAAGAGCAGGAGCTTTGAGATTGGGCACTTCTGGATTGAATTCCCAACTCTATAGGTCACAGTGTTTTATAAGAGGAATAAAGAGTGGTTTATAAACAATGAAAGCCTCAGTGGGTAAAGTGGTGAGACTGTAAAGGCTCAGTGAGATATGTGATAAAGGAGGTGCCTGGCAAATAGACCTTCAAAACAATTGTAACCAGTTTCCCCGGGCTCCTCCTCCTGACTTACTCAAACTGGTGCATGTGAATATTATTTGGAGTCAACCAAAGCACATGCTCCTTGCCCTAGCCTCCTTTAGTCTTCTGCGCCTTAGCCCAAGAACTATCACTCGGCCTCAGAATCCCAGCATGGTTGTGTAGCAGGGACCCCAGAGATGGAGGCAGACGGGATATGTTCAAGGGTGTACAATGGCATGGAGACACAACTGCTGGTTAGGCTTTCCTCCACCATCCCAAGGATGAGATCTTCCCCACTCTTTTCCCAAATCTTGTTTTCCAAAGACTCACCCGTATCAGGAGCACAAGCCTCATCGGCTTTGGCAGCATTATCTGCATTCTGTATGTTAGAATCTGGGGAACAAAGAGAAGGTTTAAAGGCCAGCCCATGCCCTCCAGCTTCTTAAAAAGGTAGGTAGGGGAACTTCTGGATCACTTGGGTTGTGTCTGTGTCTCTGGGTGTCAGTTGGGTTCATGCTTACTTATTGGGGTTGGCTGTATCTCCCCTATCATATAGCCCAAGGTCCAGGATACACTGACCAAAGCTTACCCTTCCTCTAACACTTCCCAGCTAGTCCCAGCCTGGGCACTTGAGCTGAATGTGCTCCACCACAGACTGACAGCCTTTGTGGGAGGCTCTCTTCCCTCTGCCACATATTAGTCTGTTCCTCTTTTCTCCCCATCCTCCCCTCTGATCCCGAGTGGCAGGAATTATGCCCCTCCTTATTCCTCTTATTGAAAGATTCACCAGACAGGGCTTCCTGCAAGTTGCTATGGGGAAAGGCGTTCTGGTCCTTGGTCCTCAGTCACACCCCAGAGGGAAGCTCAGGGAACACTCTGGCAGTGCAGCCACGCCTGTGGCAGAGCAGCAAAACCCCTCTTCCCCGTTGGGGAATGCTCGGCTAAGTACCTGGGGCACTAGGAAAGGAGTTCTGGTCCTTGGTCCTCAGTCACACCCTGAGTGTTCCCAGGGAAGCTCAGGGAACACTCTGGCAGTGCAGCCATGCCTGTGGCAGAGCAGCAAAATCCCTCTTCTCCGTTGGGGAATGCTCGGCTAAGTACCTGGGGCACTGGCCTCGCTGTTGCTGGCTTCCTCCTTTGGGTGGTCAGGGGTCTCCTGTCTGGGTTTCTGGCTGAAGGCCAGGAAGAGATGCGTGCTCAGTGGCTGAGGAAGATCCACCTCCAGGTATGCCCTCATGAACAGCTTGAAGACATCATAGCTAATTGGCTGAGAAGGGACAAAGAGGGAACAGTCAATGGTGAGATACAAAGGACAGAGAGGAGAAAGGGAAGGAGAGGGAATCAGAATCAGGGAGCCGGCAGGTGAGAGAAATGGAAAGGGAAGCAGAAATGGAAAGTGGAGGGGTTGGTGGGGGCAGGATTAAAAAGGACAGGAGGTGATAGAGAATGCCAGGCACAGGGAGTAAGGGGGAGGATATAAAGAAGACAAAACTCTGGTGGCTGCCTGTTGGGACTTGGTAAGGCATGGAACCACAGGAGGCTTTTGTGACAAGACGTGGCTAAATTTAGGTAGAAAAGAAAGTGATAGAGAGGGGAGTGGAGGCCACAGTGCAGGACTCTGCCTGAATCCAGGCCCAGGTGAGGGACTTGTCTCCAGTGAGCAGGACTAGCTCAGTGCTCTGGAATCCTGGCTAAGATGAAGAAAGATGTAGTTAAAGACATGATGGAGAGAAATGGGTCTTCTGTGGTATGTGGATTTTTCTCCTGTGCTGTGGACAGTACGATTCCTGAGAATTTGAGTCTCAGAATATAGGAAGGACATAGAAGAGAAAAGGGCAGGCTCCATTCTTCATTACTTTCATAACTGACCTTCCCTGGACAAACCTCAGGATAACAAGGGAGGGTGTGTGTCTGGCTCAGCTGCTCTCAAAACATGTCCTTGTGACAGTTTTAAGCACTTGGAAAAGAGCAGGAAGTCAAGGACAGAAGGCAGAACCAAGAAACATGCCAAAAACAAGAACCTCTCCCTGCTGTATCTCTCCCAGTACCGCCTGGCTTCTGGTCCCAGGCTGAGAGCGACCATGCCAGAAAGGGCTGCTGCACTCAGCAAACACTCAATAACAACAGTTTGCAGTGAGTCATCACTGGCTTGTGCTTTGATGGCATCAGATTCTTCATCAAATCGGCAGATGCTCCTGGAAATCATTTGAGGAAGCATTACTCCAAGATCTGCTGTGCAGGCTTTTGTGAATAATAACAGCCATGAGAACAAAATCCCTTGTTAGGAGCCTACTTGGCTCTCTCTCTCTCTAAAATGTTGATAGCATTCAACCCCTTGTCTCTTCTGGAAGCTCTGGGAGACTTTCCAGAACCAGGATCTGGCTTGCACGTGTAACCATCAGGTTTGAGATACAAAGTCTTGGCCCTAAACACAAGTGGTGCCCTCCCGTTACCATTGGGAGCTCACAAGGCAGTTTCTACTTAACCTGAGGCCAGGCTGTTCTATACATCTCTTTTTCAGAGTGGAGGAAACCTGATTTGGCTAGACAGAAGATAATGCAGGCTCTTGGCAGATTAAGGGATCTCTTAGCTAATGATGGACTCACATTTCTTGCGACAGTTTCCAATCTCTCTTTCTCTCTCTGTCTTTTCTGTCCCTGAGTTTCTGTGTTTTTCTATTTCATACTCTTTCTGTCCTGTCTCCACAGCCTCGTCAATGAGGAATATCCCTTCTTCACACATCCTCCTCCTTTTTCTCAGCACACAACAGCAAAATCATTTCCTTCTACTTTCCATCCACTATTATCCTTGATTCCACCCTCCCTGCTTCCGATGGCATCCCCCAGCATCCGCTTCTCTACCTGAGAGCACGTTCAAGGTACCTATTCCAAAGAAATTTAATCACTGGCTAGTCCAGCTGCTAGCCTTCTTCCTATCTCCTTTGAATTTCTCCAAATAGACCACTGAGGTGGTTGCAAAGTAGAAGGAAAAGAGTTTGCTCTCGCGTGCTGGGAAAAAGGAGGAGGATGTGTGAGGAAGGGACATTCTGCACTGATGAGGCTGTGGAGACAGGACAGAAAGAGTATGAAACAGAAAGAGACAGACACTCAGTTCCGATTCTGGCCCATCTTCTCTGAAGCTGCTCTCTTGAACTTTGCAGATTCGAGTGTCTCTTTTTAGACTTTCTCATCTTTGGGTCTCTGCAGCATTCCATCCTCTTTTCTCCTTGAGAAAATCTCTCATGGTGTGGTGCTGTTTTGCTTCTCTTAGTTCTCTACTTTGATTTGATTGAATATTTGCTGAGGCACTGTTGTTTATTTTAAAAGGCTCTTTTCGCATTATTTTTTTCCTTTGCACTCTTTTAATGGACAAATATTGTTTTACAATATAGTTTTGAGATTCAAAATGGCCATGTTAATTTGCTTAGCATCAAATTGAAAACTATCAGCATAAAATATTTCTGGAAATTAGACTGATGATTGAATAAAAAGAAATTTCAGTTAAACAAAGTCTCATGTAATGCTCTTAAAAAACCAAAGCCAAAAGATCACCAAACAAAATCAGTGTGAGATTCGGGGGATCTCATGACTGGTCTCAGCTCTGCCACATTTTTCCCTTTCCTGAACCTCAGTTTCTTCTTTCATAAATTGCGAGTGCTGGACTAGACGGCCTCAAGTTCTAAACTTCTACTCGGTTCTCCTCTAAATCAGCTCTTCTTCCTGACCCTGAAGTTTTTGTTAATATCAATAACACCATTATTCTCCCAACATTCCGGGCTCAGTTTTAAATTCTCAGTAGTCTGAGACTAGTTCTTATCCCTGCCTTTTGTCCACTGTTCTTTTGCAACATCTGTCACATCCAGTCTATTTGTGCCCATTTTGCACCTGCCACCACCTGAGAAGGGGGCTGTTGAAGGCCCTAATGATCCTGGTTTCGGACTTCTGTTTCATGCATCCTATCTGCACCATGGCGACATCGCTTGAAGGCTTCCTTGCCTCCACCTCCATCTGTCGGTCTTCTCATCTTATCCTTCCTTGCCAGGTTGATCTTCTCAAAGCACAAGTCTGATCAGATTGCTTCCCTTCTCAAAAATTTCCATGGTTCCTAATTGTCCAGTTGAGATCAGTTGTCTCCAATTTTTTTAAAATCATGCACCCTTCCATAACATTTTTGAGCATGCATTCTGTTTGTCTTACTTATAAATTGTATGTGTGTACTACAGTACTCTTACACATTATAAAACACACACAAAAGAAATTAGAAAATAGAAATTAGATGAGATAAAAATCAATGTAAATAGAATGTCTAATCTGTAGTGTTTCCACAGTATAAGGGGTCACCCTGTGCACTCCTTTGGGATTTGCAGCCCTCCCATAATACTACTCTAACCTAGATTTGTAGCTACCTCAAGTTCTGAAACCATTTTGATCTTTTCTCCTATTAGTCCCTATGTGTACCTCCACTCCGTCTACACTGATCTCTGTGTTCTTTCCTGGCCAACCCTCCATGTACTTTACATGAACGTTTCCTTCTCTACCTGTTAAAATTCTAGCTATCCTTTAAGGTCCAACCCAGATATCACCGACTCCAGGAAGTCTGCTATGATCTCCTGTGCCTGAATTGCTATACTTTTCCACCTTGGTTCTTGTTTTGGGACACTCATATCTGCTACCCTCTATTAATACGTAGTTGTGACATACCTGGGTTCCTCCACTAGATCTAGAGATCCTAGAAGGTAGTGAAATGTCTTATTTCATCTTTCTATCCCCACACTACTTAGTATAGTGTTTCCTGGTAGGTATTTTAATGGATGTTGGGTTTCTAACTGGTACAGTTGGCAGTCATCAATTATTGTGGGGTCTGTTCAGTCAATATGTATGTACTGAATCTCTTAGGTAGAAGACAGTGCTGGGCACTCCTGGGGAACACACCAGTGAATTAAGCATGGGTTCGTACCTTTAAAGGGCTCTGTGAGATATGTATGGTAAAGGCATTGAAAATAATTCTAAAACAGGGTCAGCAGTGGTGAGTACCCTGGGAAAAGAACTGATAAAGTGTTTTGAGGGCTTAGAAAACAATGGCAATTGAACATGTGTCTGATCATTTATGTCCCTATCCTGGGGAACAGGATGGCATAGAATAAGCCTAGAAACACAGAGCATTTGCATTAGAAATGCTCATATCTCCTCCTGTCACGGAGGCTCGAGAAGTTCAATGCTTTGCCCCTGCCAGCTAGTGTCAGAGTGAAACAAGAAGCTGGATATTCTGACTCCAAGTCCAGTGCTCCTGCTACTGTATCTGTCACAGGTCCCAATGCTGACATCTTGTTCCCTGCCACTCCCTCTAAACACCCTAATTTCAGTAGGCCAAGAAATGTGACTGTGTGCCACTCTCAAAGTGATATCTAGGTTACGAGAGAGTAAGTTCTTTGTGAACACAGGCCAGGCTCAGAGTAGTGGCTTAGTAAATGTGTGATGGGTAGAGAGTGGCTGGGTACTGTGCCCAAACAAAATCCAGTTAACCAACTACTCTGAGGAACGCTGGCAATTCTCTGAGCCCTGGAGTAGTAACACTGCAGCCATTGCCATTGTTCAGGCCTGTTTTTTTCCCCCCAGAAACTGCAACTTTCATGCAAAAATTAACTGGGCAATTGCTGTTGCAGCAACCTGTGTAAAGAAAGTGTGTTAAATCTTACATAGTTCAAGAAGGGAGGAGAGCTAGACGGAGAGTTTACCATGCATTGGGCACTTTGCATATGTGATCTTTTTTAAGTCTCAATACAACAGTGAGAGGTGGGATCGTACTGCCATTTTGTGGATGGAAACATTCTGAGAACATAAATAACTTTCTCAAAGTCATAAAGCAAGTGGCAGAGCTGGGATTTGTGCTTAGGTGTGTCTGAGTCTAAGATCACAGTGCCACCAAGCCACCCTGCCCCATCCGTTCCACTGTTCTTGTCCACCTCCTGGCTATCTTGAGCTATGTTCTCTTCAGAGAATCACACAGTGCTGATGGGCAAGAGATGCTTGTCACGGCCAAATGCAGCCCTGCCACTCTGCAAACTTTTATTCCCGGCCTCATTTTCCTTGTCCTTCACACAGCTAACTTGTTTCTCACTGAGACATTTTAGCAGCAGTAAGCCATCAAGCTGGAGAGAAATTAAACCCTTGTTGTTTTGCCAACCTCATGCAGGGATGTTACACCTACTAGAAGCCAGACACACTGTGAGAGAGAATAAAATCAGAGTGACAGAGCTCCCCTGGGACACAGCAGTGCTAGGCATACAAAGAGTGGAGGCCAGCCTGATGGAGGTGGGGGCGGCAGCATGCTCAAAACAGACAAGCTGCTCCCGGTTTCTAAAAGCTCCTGTGGCCTTCACACCCTGGGTGGCCCTGACCAAATTGTTCCCCTCCCACTTGTCAGCCTCAGGGCAGACAGGCTGATTGGCGTCCTTGGCCAGGCTTTGTTCCTTTGTTATTGGAGCTGGGGTGGGGGCTGAGGGGGCAGGGTTTTTTTTTTTTTTTGCTGGTTCTGCCATCTTCACTGCATGGCTTCTCCTCAGGAATGTTCTTTGACGTGGTGTATTTCCCTGCATTGCTTCTGTTCCAGCAACCTTCCTCCAGCTTCCTTCTGGTGATTGGTGCATTTTACGAAAAGCCCCTCCCAAGTGTACCTAGAGGGCATGGGTTCTGTTGACTCATTCTCAGTGTCCAGCGGAGCAGAAGTTGACTCAAGGTTTGTCGAAAGGATAATATAAATAAATATGTGGCCAGCCTCTCGTGGAGTTTGTCTACAGTTAGCTCTCATAAAAGGACCCAGGACCAGGGAAGAGGAGTTCAGTTTGAAACTTCTGGGGAACTAGGACAGAAGGAGAATAATAATGGGTACCGTTTTTTAAGTGTCTTGTGAAGTATTAGACAATTTGCAAAAATTATCTCATTTAGTCCACTCGTCTTTTGTTTTTGTTGTTATTTTCAGGTCACAGATAAAAAAATCAAGGCTCAGGAAAGTAAAATGCTATTCAAGGAAATATTGCTGGTTGGCAGCAGAGGTAGGGGTCTAACTTAAAACCGTGTGAGTCCAGGGTCATGGCTCTTAAACTTGACTTGTCAGTAGGAAGTAAGCTCCAAAGGGCAGGAACTGTGCTTCCTCATCTTTATATCTTCTACAGTGCCCACTATGTTTAAGAAATGTTAAATGAGTTGAATTTGAAAGTGGAGGAGGTCTTGCCTTCATTTATTTATTCACCAAATATTTGTTGAGCGTCTGCTCTGTGCCAGATACTTTTCTGGGCCCTTGAGATACAGCAGTGAACAAAAATATTCTAGTGGGAGAGATAGACAAATAACTAAGTTATATAGTATGACAGATGGTGAGAAGTTCTAAGGAGGAAATAAGGCAGAGTAAGGAGATAGGGAAGGTCTAGAAAAAGAGTTTAAAATTTTAGATAGAGAAGGTAATATTCACTGAGAAGGTGATTTGAGCAAACACTTGAAGGAGGTGAGGGAATGAACGATGGATATTTGGAGAAGGAACATTCCAGGAAGAGACAAAGCAAATGGCAAATACAAAGGTACTGGAGGTAAGAGCAACCTGGCTTGTTTGAAAGCATCAGGAGGGGAATGTGTGGAAAAGAATGAGAAGCAGAATATCAAAAGATGAGGTCAGAGGGTTGAGGGAGGTGCAGATTGTCATGACCTTGACTTTTACTCTGAGTAGGGGGTGGGGGAAACCATGAGACATTGTTGAGCAGAGCAGTGGTGTGATCTAAGTTTTATCAGATTGCTCAGGATGCGTGTGAGGAATAGACTTTAAAGGTCAAGATCAGAAACAGGGAGCCCAGTTAGGAGACTATTGTAATAATCTGGGCAGTTTGGTGATGACTCAGGTCAGGGTGGTAGCAGCGCAAGTGGTAAGACGTGGTTAGATTTTGGATATAATTTTAAAGGTAGAAGTGAAAGGGTTTGCTGATGAATAGGATGTGGGATGTGAGAAAAAGAGAAAAGTCAATGATGAGTCCATAGTTTTAGGCTGAATAACTTAAAAAATGGAGTTCTCACTTACTGAAATGGGGAAGACTGTTGGAAAAACAGGTTCATAGGGGAAGACAAGAGCTCAGTTAGTGCATGTTAAGTTTGAGATGTTTATTGGAAATGTTTAAGCAGAAATGTCAAGGATAGGGGTAAGAAGAAAACCAGGAGAGCGTAGTGTCCTGAAAACTAAGTGAAGAAAGTGGAGGAAGATTTGGCCAACAATGTTCAATGTGGTTGTGTAAAATGGCTATTGAGTTGAGCCACATAGAGGTCCTTGACTATGTCGACTAGTGGTTTCAGTGGAAGAGTAAGGGCTACATGCCAATTACAGGGCTTTCAAGAAAGTAGGAGGAAGAGAAATTGCAGGCAATGAGTAAAGACAAATTTTTTTGCACAGCTTTGTTAAAAAGGACAGGAGAGAAATGAGGTGGTAGCTGGAGGGAGAAGTAGAGTCAGAACATTTTTTAATGTAAGAGAAATGTTTATATGTTGATGAGAAAAATCTAATATATAGGTGAGTTAAGAAGCAAGTTTTTCAAAGTGAGCTTAAACTTCTGAGAGGGGAACAAATTATGAAAAGGTTGGAATTTGGGATTTTTTTAAGGCTTGAAATGGAAATGTTCTTACCTCATGTGAGTCATATCGTTTGAGGCTCCCACTCTCATTAAAAGCTGATGTGGAGACAGATATAGACAGATGGATAGATAGATGATAGAAAAAAAAATAAAGAAAGGGAAGTATTGTTGAAGCAATGCCTCCATGAGTGGAAGGGTTGGAGCGTGGAGAGTTCATCCCTAGTTACAGGAGAAAAGATATGTAGGTAAGTGAGGATCATGTGGAAAATCTCTTCTGATTGTTCCTGTTTTCTCAGTGAAGTAGAAAACAAAGTGGTTAACTGAGAATGAGGAGCGGAGGAGGAGTGAGAGATTTGAGGAGAGAGAAGAAGGTATAATGTAGTCTTCTAGGACAGCGAGAGGGTGAATGGACTTGGGAAACATAATTCCAGGTAGCACTAATGGCTCACTTGAGACAAGAGTTAAGAAGCAAGTTTTTCAAAGTGAGCTTAAACTTCTAAGAGGGGAACAAATTATGAAAAGGTTGGAATATGGGATTTTTTTAAGGCTTGAAATGGAAATGTTCTTACCTCATGTGAGTCATATTGTTTGAGGCTCCCACTCTCATTAAATTCAGCCAAGACATCCTTTATCTTCTTGGAAGAATCTGGAGAGACATAATGCACATGTGAAACACTGGCGAACAGCTAATGGGAAGTAGACCAAGTAAATTCTCTCTGCCTAACCTTGGTCATGATGGTTCAGCCCCTCATTCCCAGGACCATATGGAGAAATGTCACCCTTATCTACCTTTCTTCCTTCTTGTTTCTTTTTTTTCAGTATATTGTCTTTCCTGCTGTATGAACTATCTAAAACAAAAATCTAATCAGATCATGTCCCTGCTCAAAATCCTTCACTGGTTTTCAGTTTTCCAAGGTTAAAGCCTAACCTCCTTACCTAGGTATATAAGTACTTGATGATCTGACCTAGCCTATTCCTTATCTCTTACCTTAACCTCCCATTCATTCCCACTTTTCAGCCATATCAAACCATATTTCCAGAAATCCCTGAGTACACTGTATATTCTTTCACAGACTCTCTTCTATGAATTGCAAACTTCACTCAATTCTCAGTACCCAGCTCAAATATCAATTCTTTTGTAAATCTGTCTTATACCAGTCAATCATCCCCCTCCCCCCACCCCCGCCCCCGGTTCTCAGGTGACTTTTACATAATTCTGTAATAGCACTTGTCATACAGTGTTATAATTATTATTAATTTGTCTATCTTGCTCATCTCCTGCCTCAGTTCTACACTGAGAACTGAAACTGGCTAGTGAGTCTTTGTATATCATACCAAAAACATCTGAGCAGAAATTTTCAAACATTTAAAATTTTGTTAGTTTTAATAGGATGGGCGGGCATTAAACTCAGTGTGACTCTGTCCTTGGTGCTGAAACAGAGACTCAGTGGATTCATGCAGTATGGTAGTTTAGAAAATTCTGCTTTCCATAGGAAGTAATTCAGAAACTACTGGAGAAAATGGATTCTTTTTTTTGGGGGGGGGGGAGTTTTATAAGGGAACTGGGAGTCAAGAACAAAGAGTCAATAGTTCTCACAGAACTACATCATGAGTGCATCCTGGGTAGCAGCAAAACTCTAGACATCAAAGAAAATCAGGCTTTCTGTGCTCTCCTTATCTTGCAGTATTGGGAATAATTACGAGCTTTTCAAGATCAATTATTGCCACTATTTAGACACCTGAGCAAAGGGCGATGTCATTAAGAGCTGACATAGTGTTCTTTGGTGTTCGGGTTCTTCGCACAAAGGGCTATGTTCTCTTAGGCTTACGTAAAGTAGACGTGTTCATGGACTGGGCTGTTCTCCATGGTACTGCTGACTTGGATACAATCAAGGACAAGTTATAATCATTTCAAGATTGAGACATATTGAAATGCCACAGGGAAGTACTGCTTTTGCCTAAAAATGGACATTTCTTTCTGAAATTCAAAACAGATGTTGAAAAACTAATAGCTCAATGAGATCCAGGCAGCAGATGCCATCAATTTGGACTGCTTCCATTCAATTCAGAAAACACTATGAAGAATAAGATGCTGTAAGGTACTGCTGATGAACTAGTCGGGGAGATGATCTTAATCATTGTGGTAATAATAGCTTTCCCTTATTGAAGATCTTTACCGAATAATCTCCCCTACCAATCTATGCAAATTTGGTAATGTTTTTTTTTTTATTATTATTATTTATCAGTTTTCAGGTGAAGAAGCTGAAATTTAGAAAAAATTAAGTGACTTGCCCCAGAGTCAGGGTTTTAACTCAGGTTTAGTCTGGCTCAAAAGTCTATATTATTTTCCCTTAAACACTATTCCCTATTACTTCCTAAACACCTGCTAACACAAGGGACAATGTAATTAATGCTGTAGCAATGATATTAAGCTCTAGGGAGCCCAGAAAAGGGAAGCAGTAAAATTAGGATGATAGAAGTGTTGGGGTGGAGACCAGGGATGTCTTATAAGTAGGTACCATTTGAGCTGGGGTATAAAGAGAGGGTAAAGTTTTGAAAGGAAGACATGAAGTGGAGAGGATATTTTTAGAAGGGACAGGGTAAACAAAGTTGTAGAGATGGGTGCCACAGGACATTTAGGAAAAGTTAGAACCAGAGAATAGTTTGGGGCCAGGTTTGTGGGGGTCTTAAATGCCAAGTTAAGGACATTGATTTGAAATTGTTAAAAGTTTTTGAGTAGTGGGGCAACATAACCACATCTCTGTTTTCTAAAGGCCACTCTAGCAACAGAATGGAAGAGAGTTGAGAATTAAGCCAAGCTCAGTTAACATCATGCATAAATTACATTCAAATTATTATATGAACAGCTTAATTATTTAGGAAAAACTCTATGTATTTAGACTCTATTTTTATGGAGGATTTTTGGCTCAGCCAGAGTGACAAAATTGGGGAGAAAATGCAAAATTTAGAGCATGGGTCACCCTGGTGTAGCTTCTGCAAGAGTAGTGTAGAACTAGCATTTGAATGAGAACCCAGGGAATGATTTCACTTGAATTTATATGCTTTTGATGTCACATTTTGGAGATTCTGCAGTTCATCCTAGCAGAAGTCCTTTGGTTCTAAGTGTTATTGATATAATCCTGCTTTATATTCAAATGTATGGGATATATAGCTGTATATAGCTATCTCTACACACATATATACATAGAGAGATACATATATATGTATATATACATTTACACATATAGATATGTGTGTGTGTGTATATATAAAAAGATATAGATACACACAATTCCATACATACAAGTGTATATATTCATCATACACACATATATTCATCATATATTCACAGTCAAGTAAACAGGTTTTGAAAAGAAAAAATAGAGAAGACATTTATTTTAAAATTTCTGATTACTAGCTTAAAATTAAATAGAAAAAAATGCAAGAGATTGCTGGCTCCTAGATCCTCAGGAAATGTGTTCCTCACCTTACATTTACTTCAATTTGTTTTATGGGCTTTTATGAGCTCTTAGCAGCCAAATCTTTCCCCTTTAAAAGAGGAAAACAATTTAATTCTCAAATACAATACTCATTTACAGTTTCTCCTTGGATATCCTTTGATATTTTATCACAGTTTTCTTCTCAATAGATTTCTGGGTTGTGTTTCTCTTCCCCTGAGGAGTAAGTAGGTACCACTCCATTCTGTTTTGTCTTATGCTAGTTAAGAATAAGAGGGGATTCTTCAGAGCATTCTCTGATTTTATTTCAAGCACCATCTGTGGGCTCAATAGCACAAACTCAGTAAAGAGAACTCCCTGTCAAGGCCTGTACTATAACACCACCACCAGACTCAGAAGAGAATGAGCTCCATTTCTAAATGTACAAAGTAAGGCCACGTCCACAATTCTTTGCAACAACTCCTGTGTTGTTGAGTGCTTACTATATGTGAAGAACTGTCTTAGCCACCTTATATATTTTATTTAAATCTCCACAACTACCTTCTACTGTAATAATCATTCCTATTTTAAAGAAAACTGAGGTTTATGGAATTTAAATGACTCAAGGGCACACAGCTAGTGAGTGGGGGACTGATTTTTACCATATCTAATAATGTGACACAGCAGTTAGATTCATTGGATACATGAACACTAGTAAATCAGAAGATAAGGGCCTTCCCCTATGACAGTGGTTCTCAAACCTGGCTGCATGTTAGGATCACCTGAGGAGTCCTATAACACACTGAAACCAGGCCTTACCCAGACCAATTAAATCAGCTCTCTTGGGAAACTCAGGAATTAGTATATTTAAAGCACCTTAGGGATTCAAATGTACAGACAAGGTTGAGAACTGATGTTCTATGATGGGATTTTATTGTTAGACATGAACACTGTCTTAAGCAGCTGAACATATTGAATAATTAATGCAAAAGGAAAAAAAGTTTATAAACCTGCTAAATCTAAAATCACCACACTTGGCAGACATTCCTTGTTGTTTATGTGGATGTGGGCAGCACTAAAGAACTTCACCCAACACGTCAACTTATTCAGCTGCTTGGCAAGGTAAGGATATGTTTCACATTAGCCCACACTGGTAGGATCATAAGCATCCAGTTTCACCCCAAATCAGGGGTAAAAACTATGATCAAGGTCAATAGTAGTAACAACTACCCAAGGAAGTTTTGATCCAAAATTATCTCTTTGTGTTTTATGTGTTGTGAATTCTGAGACCTTAACCAAGTACTTGTCCCTAGTGTTTGAGCAAATTCAAAGCCCTTTTAAGGAGAAAATTTGGCCCACTCACAGGCACCTTTGCTGCCATATTTGTGTATGACAGGGATTCCCTCCGTCTGAACAAGCAGACAAATCGGGAGCCTCAGTGTTTACAGCAGAACATTGGCTGTACTGTCTAAACTAGAACCCAAAACTTATGGACCATCTTCTAGTTAAGAATACTGAGTATTTGAGCCTTAGTCAGACCATTAGACTTTGAAATGACTGCAAATCAACATTTTCAAAAGTGAATCTGAAAACCCATAGATGAGAGAGTGAAATTCTAAGGTGCATGATAACTCTCCATTCCTCAAAGTTCCCTAAGAGCATCTCATGCTGTAACATGCTTATGAATCCCCTGGGTATCAGGTTTGAATGCAGATTCTGATTCAAAAGGCCCATGTCAGGGCTCGAGATTCTGTATTTTAAATAAGATCCTAGGTGACATCAGTTATGTAGGCCCATGGAACTCACTTTTGACCCCACCCTTAAGCAACATTCCTGTATATCTGTGGCTGACTAATAAGGCTTGTCTGTCACAACACAGAAAAAACAGACAAACGAATAAACAAATAAGTAAACAAACATGACGGTGAAGGTAGAGGAACATATTCCATAGATTGAGAAGACCATAAATAACTCAACCCATGGAAGGAAAGACACAGAGATAGGGGGAAGGAAAGTTGGTACATGAGAAAATAATCCCAAACCTAGAATTTTCCTTCTTTCGATGAAGACTGGGTTGTATAAGTTTTCTAAGTACCCCAGAGAGTAAAGAACACAGTGAGATGCACAAAAGCAAGAATGAGTTTTTCCAAGGGTCTTGGAAATATGGAGGATGATGTCAGAACAGAGATGCCAGGACCAAGAGCACTGC